GACACTTATGTTCTTCCTGCCCATGGGCGGAGACGATACCCTAGCAATGTGGCTCGTTTAACTTTTGACATCCGTGAACTCACATCCTCAGTTTATGTAGCAGGACATCGGTTACAAGTTCGAAAGGTGATCCCTACACCGCAACAGTGTAGAAATTGCTGGCGATTTGGCCGTCCAGCAAAATATTGCATATCTATTGCCGAATGCCCAGTCTGTGGTGCCGATGACCATTCTAATACGTCTTGCAATCGACCTCCCTCTTGCCTTAATTGTCATGAGGCTCACCCTTCGTACTCTCGCCATTGTCAAGTCGCAGCAGTGTTTCCGGACAGCGTCGTACGAGGGCATTTACTATCTTCGGCTAGTATTTTTACTGCTGAATTGTATGCCATCCTTGCAGCACTTGTCCGTATTGCATCTATGCCTGTGTCATCATTTGTGGTTGTCTCAGACTCCCTTAGTGCTTTACAGGCTATACAGAAATTTGATACACCTCACCCCTTAGTCCTCCGTATCCAACTTTGGCTACGCCGCATCTTTACCAAGCATAAAGATATTGTTTTTTGTTGGGTCCCTGGTCATGTTGATGTACAGGGCAATGAACAGGCAGACACTGCTGTGCGGTCAGCAGTACATGACCTACCAGTTTCATATAGAGGTATTCCATTTACGGACTATTTTGCTGCAATATCTTCCCACCTTCACACCCGTTGGCAACAACGTTGGTCTACTATGCTCGGCAACAAACTTCAATCTATTAAACCGAGTATAGGTTACTGGCCGTCTTCTTATCACCAGTGTCGAGGTTGGGAGACTACTCTCTCCCGTCTTCGCATTGGCCATACTCGTCTTACTCATGGATATCTCATGGAGAGGCGCCCTGCTCCTCTCTGTGAGAATTGCCAAGCTCCATTATCAGTCAGCCACATTCTGTTGGACTGCCCACTTTATCAACGAGCACGCAGAATTTACCTCCGTCGTCGTCTTCACTCCGCTGCTCTCTCTTTACCTTCCCTTCTCGCTGATGGACCCACCTTTCATCTGGACTCTCTCATTGACTTTTTGACAACAACTGACTTGCTTCACAAATTCTGATACCTTCAGCCCTTTCTACTTCAATCTCTTGCTACCCTCTACCCCCGTACTATCCCCTGCCCCGCTGTTTTCTGTAACCTACTGATCATCCCTCCCCCCTTCTGCCATCCAATACCCTCGCTTCCTTCCCTACCCTGCAGCGCTGTATAGCCCTTGTGGCTTAGCGCTTCTTTTTGATTATAATATAATAATAATCTATACTATAAGGTCATTAACAAAGGACCTTTTTTAGTATTTAAATAATGTCATTTCAACTATGAAACTTTATAATGTCAAATAATTGAAGTTCATTGCCGCATGATCAGTAGTGTTTCAAAATGTATTGTACACATTTTACCTAATTTTGTATACCTTTCTGGAAATAAAATTGTTTGTTTGTGCATCACTATTTTTACCTTGATAGTGTGAAGTGTTGTTAATTAGAACAGCTGTTTATCTTGTACAGTGCTTATCAGTAGAGATTCTCATCAATTTCTAAATATGATATAGAAACACCTACATGTTTACACAGAGATATGTATTCACTTACTCACTCGCTCTCTCTCTTTCTCTTTTCTCTCTCTCTCTCTCTCTCTCTCTCACTCACTCAATCTCCCTCACACACACACACACACACACATACTCCCACACAGAAGAGATAGGGGGGACATGATAATGACATACAAAATACTGAGAGGAATTGACAAGGTGGGCAAAGACAGGATGTTCCACAGATGGGACACAGCAACAAGGGGACACAGTTGGAAGTTGAAGACACAGATGAATCACAGGGATGTTAGGAAGTATTTCTTCAGCCACAGAGTAGTCAGGAAGCGGAATAGTTTGGGAAGCGATGTAGTGGAGGCAGGATCCATACATAGCTTTAAGCAGAGGTATGATAAAGCTCATGGTTCAGGGAGAGTGACCTAGTGGCGACCAGTGAGGAGGCGGGGCCAGGAGCTTGGACTCGATCCCTGCAACCTCAACTAGGTGAGTACAACTAGGTGAGTACACACACACACACACACACACACACACACACACACACACACACACACACACACACACACACACACACACACACACACACACACACATACAACACACACACACACACACACACACACACACACACAACATACACACACACACACACACACACACACACACACACACATACACACACACACACATTCTCACACACTCACACACACACACACACACACACACACACACACACACACACACACACACACACAGGAGCTGTGAATCAACCCCTGTAGCCACAAATAGGTGAGTACACTCACAACATGACAACATGCCCATGCACTCTGCCCCAGGCCTAGACTTATGGAACTCTGTGCTTATCAAGAACACAAGAAACCCTCTGATGTGCCTTAAATATTCTACGGAGAGGGATCCTAGACATAGGGGGGGTCATGAGGGAGCCTAGACATGGGGGTCATTAGAGCACCTAGACATGGGGGTCATGTGGGAGCCTAGACATGGGGGTCATGAGGAAGCCTAGACTTGGGGGTCATCTCAGTTGTTGAAAACAGCACAGTCCCTCTTCACAAGAGCAAAGAACTTCAAACTGACAGCACTAATGTCCCACATTTTTAAAATCCACTTGGACTCATGACATTTACACAACCCAAGGCAACAGGGGTTGAGAACAGGTCATTCCTGCCTCTCAAAATTACTGGACCACCATGTTGCACTGAAAGATAAACAAAATGCAGATGTAGTACACACAGACTTTGCAAAAGCCATGGTGTAATAGTGTACAAAATGCATGCAGAACTAACTAAAAAAAGTGGGCTGAAGGATTTTCAACTTTCTAAGGAAGAGAATACAAAGAATTCTTAATAGTTTGCCCAGTTTGGTTAAAGGGAAAAAGATCCATTCTATGTGGTACAGTACTCGACTCCATCCTTTTCTTCATCCTCAAATTTGACATACACAGGGACATGAGCCATAGCATTGTATCATTCTTTGCAGACAATACTAAAATTTAAGAGTGTCATCCATCAAGGATACTGCAAATCTTTAACCTGATATAAACAAAGTCTTCCAGTGAGCCACAGACAACAATATGATATTCAGTGAGGACAAATTTCAGTTACTTCATTATTAAAAAATTGAGGAGATAGAAGCTAGAATGGAGTATAAAGCAAATTCTAACCACTGAGTAGGCTGAAAAACAAATGTGAAGGCCTTAGGAATGAAAATGTCAGAGGATCACAATAGTGTCATTATCAACACCGTGAGGAAAATGATAGAATGGATAAGGAGAACCTTCAAAACAAGAGGCAGGGAGGTATGTGTGGTCTGTTGCAGAGAGAGCAGGCAGGGAGGTAAGTGTGGTCTGTTGCAGAGAGAGGAGACAGGGAGGGAGGTCACTGTGTTCTGATGCAGGGAGAGCAGGCAGGCAGGGAGGTCACTGTTCTATTGCAGGGAGAGCAGGCAGGAAGAGAGGTCACTGCTACGGTAACCAGCATACACAGTAAGTAGCTGAAGGTTTCACACCATTTTACAGCAGGAGTCTTATCCATTTCATCATTATTTTCTGTTTTTAATTTCTTTTTGTATCTCTGCTTTTTCTTTTTCTTTAATGAAGTTTTTTTTGTAAACATTTGAAGTCCTCTGACCTGTACCCCTTGCCACAAAAGCAAGGCAGACATACCAGAATTTACACTTTAAAAACTGTAGAGGGACTGGTCCTAAATATGCACACTGAAATCACTTCCTATGAAAGCAAGAGGTTCAGCAGACAGTGTTAAATACCCTCAATAAAAAGCAGGAGTGCCTGATTACACCAAGAGACAACATAATAAGATAATAAACGTAAGGAGCCCAAGACTATTTTAACAACCTCCCACCATACATAAGGGGGATTAGCAATAGATTCCTTGCTGATTAGCTGGGTTGTGGTTTGTATGTTCGGCTGTGTATGGCAAGCACTAGTAGCGTAGTTGATGAGGCCCTGGTCCACCAGGAGGCCTGGTCTGGGACCTGGCTGCTGGGGCACTGATTTTTGAAACACACTCCAGGTAGACTCCAAGGAGGCAGGTGATATGATTTTCCTTGTTTCATGCCGACAGTGGCTGGATTATTATTATATGATTACTATAATCATGGGGAAGCGCTAAACCCATAGAATTATACAGTGCATGCGAGGGGGGTAAATGGAAGGTATTCAGGCTCAATTCAGGGAACTGGAGCACAGATCCAATTCCCTAGATCAAGAGCCTCTCACCAGCATCAAGGAACCTCCCTTGAGGGGACAGTGGCTGGAGGGTAGGGAAGAGAGCCTTTTGGTTTACTATCCTTCCCCTAACCATCTAGATAATAGTGGGAAGTTCTTTATCAAGATAGTAGTAGACTTTTTTTTCAGCAGATAGCCTCGGTGTGGACTTTAAAAGTCTCCTACTGTCTCTCATTTTCTCATTCTCATTCTCTCTTTCACTTCCAGGTTTGGTACTTTTTTAATGTATGTATTAAGTTTTTCTTCACTTCCTCCTTTAACTTTCACCAGTATCAAATAATTGACCTATCAGGTGACAGAAGATAATCTACATACAGCTTCTTCACTGACATGTCTGATGTTAGATTTCCCAGTGACTCAGAAGTGTTTTATATGGTATATTTGGAGTGTGTTGGTGCCAGGTGGCAGTCAGAGCAGGAGGCAGGTGATTGAGAGAGATTAATCTTGATCATCAGGATTTGGTAGTGGCTCAGTGTCAGCTGAGCAGGCAGGCAGGGAGGTAAGTGGTCTGTTGCAGAGAGAGCAGGCAGGCAGGGAGGTATGTGTGGTCTGTTGTAGAGAGAGCAGGCAGGGAGGTAAGTGTGGCTTGTTGCAGGGAGGGAGGTCACTGTGTTCTGATGCAGGGAGAGCAGGCAGGCAGGGAGGTAAGTGGTCTGTTGCAGAGAGAGCAGGCAGGCAGGGAGGTATGTGAGGTCTGTTGCAGAGAGAGCAGGCAGGGAGGTAAATGTGGCTTGTTGCAGGGAGGGAGGTCACTGTGTTCTGTTGCAGGGAGAGCAGGCAGGAAGAGAGGTCACTGCTACAGTAACCAGCATACAGAGTATGTAGCTGAAGGTTTCACACCATTTTACAGCAGGAGTCTTATCCATTTCCTCATTATTTTCTATGGTTTTAATTTCTTTTTGTATCTCTGCTTTTTCTTTTTCTTTAATGAAGTTTTTCAAGCAGTAAAGGAATGAAAAAGAGTCCTGCATGGGAGGAAACTGAGATAACAGAAAAAATAAGTAAACACAACATGAAAAAGTACTTGATATTGCCAAGCATAATAAAGAATGAATGAATACTGAACCATTATCAACACTGAATCTAAACATAATTAGCATAAAATACTGAAAGTTGTAAACCAAAAACACGAGGCAAGATGGACACTTCAGTGAGACAATTTTCCCTTGAAGACCAAGTTTTTTAAGACCATAGAGAGGGTAAATGTTAGTTTATACAGGAGGGCCCTGCATATACTGTACAGCAACTCTTCTTGGTGTTCCACATTTTTTTGTTGCCTTTCAATTAAGCCATTGTTTCACCTGTCAGTGGGTGGAACATAATGAAAAGTGGCTCAATTTGAAGCCAAAGAAAAGGGAACATCAAACAGAAGGTGCTGTATATGCAGGACTGTCCCGTATAGGCAGAGTGAGGCTTGTAGGAGAGGTGCAGCTGACCAGATCAGGTGAATAAAAGTGAAGTCTTGGAGTTTACCAAGCATTCGGGGTTCTTCCAGCTGGATATTCTTTTATCTCCATACTCACTGCACTGTACTCACTGCATTGTACTCACTGGATTGTGTGCACCAAGTTATGTTTTGCAGGGGGGTCAATTCAGTTATTTTCTTCATTTTATTGCACACACAAAACATACAATAATCTAAAGGTCCGTAGTATGTACAGGGTTGAGATTTAGCTCCTGGCCCTTCCTAAACTGTGTCTGATATCCTTGGTGTTGATTAAGGTTAATAGTAACCTCTGGTTTATGTTCATCCAGCAGCCAAGTGAGTATAGATTTTTACTCTTAGAGCAAACTTCAACTTTGAGAACTGATTGACTTACTATTAATAATTGTTTAAGTGGTACTCCACTTAAATCGGGTATACTAAGTTATTGAAATAATAATGGAGTGTTCTACTTTAGTTGTGGTTCAATGGATATTACTGAAGTGGCCTGAAAAAACTTGAGACAATTAAGTGGTAGCTTTATTGTTCCTAAGTGAACCAGTACTCTTGAAGGTGCATTCAGTGGTTGGTTGAAGATAGAAGGTGGGAGCTGGGCTATACTCAGTACCCATAGAATATATCTTATTCTTACCACCTACTCTTGTCTTGTACCACCTATTGTTGTCTTGCACCACCTACTGTTGTCTTGCACTACCTACTGTTGTCTTGCACCACTTACTATTGTCTTGCACCACCTACTGTTGTCTTGTACCACCTTCTGTTGTCCTGTACCACCTACTATTGCCCTGTACCACCTACTGTTGTCTTGTACCACCTTGTGTTATCTTGCACCGCCTACTGTTATCTTGCACCACCTACTGTTGTCTTGCATCAACTACTATTGTCCTGTACCACCTACTGTTGTCTTGCACGACCTACTGTTGTCCAGTACCACCTACTGTTGTCCTGTACCACCTACTGTTGCCTTGCACCACCTACTGTTGTCTTGCACCACCTACTGTTGTCTTGCACCACCTACTATTGTCCTGTACCACCTACTGTTGTCCTGTACCACCTACTGTTGTCTTGCACCACCTACTGTTGTCTTGCACCACCTACTGTTGTCTTGCACCACCTACTGTTGTCCTGTACCACCTACTGTTGTCCTGTACCACCTACTGTTGTCTTGTACCACCTACTGTTGTCTTGTACCACCTTCTGTTGTCTTGCACCACGTACTGTTATCCTGTACCACCTACTGTTGTCTTGTACCACCTTCTGTTGTCTTGCACCACGTCCTGTTATCCTGTACCACCTACTGTTGTCTTGTACCACCTTCTGTTGTCTTGCTCCACCTACTGTTGTCTTGTACCACCTTCTGTTGTCTTGCACCACGTCCTGTTATCCTGTACCACCTACTGTTGTCATGTGCCACCTACTGTTGTCATGCACCACCTACTGTTGTCCTGTACCACCTACTGTTGTTTTGCACCACCTACTGTTGTCTTGCACCGCCTAATGTTGTCTTGCACCGCCTATTGTTGTCTTGCACCACCTACTGTTGTCTTGTACCACCTTCTGTTGTCCTGTACCACCTACTATTGTCCTGTACCACCTACTGTTATCTTGCACCACCTTCTGTTGTCTTGCACCACCTTGTATTGTCTTGTACCACCTTCTGTTGTCCTGTACCACCTACTATTGTCCTGTATCACCTATTGTTGTCTTGTACCACCTTCTGTTGTCTTGTACCACCTTCTGTTGTCTTGCACCACCTACTGTTGTCTTGTACCACCTTCTGTTGTCCTGTACCACCTACTATTGTCCTGTACCACCTACTATTGTCCTGTATCACCTATTGTTGTCTTGTACCACCTTCTGTTGTCTTGCACCACCTTCTGTTGTCTTGCACCACCTACTGTTGTCTTGTACCACCTTCTGTTGTCCTGTACCACCTACTATTGTCCTGTACCACCTACTGTTATCTTGCACCACCTTCTGTTGTCTTGCACCACCTTGTATTGTCTTGTACCACCTTCTGTTGTCCTGTACCACCTACTATTGTCCTGTATCACCTATTGTTGTCTTGTACCACCTTCTGTTGTCTTGTACCACCTTCTGTTGTCTTGCACCACCTACTGTTGTCTTGTACCACCTTCTGTTGTCCTGTACCACCTACTATTGTCCTGTACCACCTACTATTGTCCTGTATCACCTATTGTTGTCTTGTACCACCTTCTGTTGTCTTGCACCACCTTCTGTTGTCTTGCACCACCTACTGTTGTCTTGCACCGCCTACTGTTGTCTTGCACCGCCTATTGTTGTCTTGCACCACCTACTGTTGTCTTGTACCACCTTCTGTTGTCCTGTACCACCTACTATTGTCCTGTACCACCTACTGTTATCTTGCACCACCTTCTGTTGTCTTGCACCACCTTGTATTGTCTTGTACCACCTTCTGTTGTCCTGTACCATCTACTATTGTCCTGTATCACCTATTGTTGTCTTGTACCACCTTCTGTTGTCTTGTACCACCTTCTGTTGTCTTGCACCACCTACTGTTGTCTTGTACCACCTTCTGTTGTCCTGTACCACCTACTATTGTCCTGTACCACCTACTATTGTCCTGTATCACCTATTGTTGTCTTGTACCACCTTCTGTTGTCTTGCACCACCTTCTGTTGTCTTGCACCACCTACTGTTGTCTTGTACCACCTTCTGTTGTCCTGTACCACCTACTATTGTCCTGTACCACCTACTGTTATCTTGCACCACCTATTGTTGTCCTGTACCACCTACTGTTGTCTTGTACCACCTTCTGTTGTCTTGCACCACCTTGTATTGTCTTGTACCACCTTCTGTTGTCATGTACCACCTACTATTGTCCTGCATCACCTATTGTTGTCTTGTACCACCTTCTGTTGTCTTGTACCACCTTCTGTTGTCTTGTACCACCTTCTGTTGTCTTGCACCACGTATTGTTGTCCTGTACCACCTACTGTTGTCTTGTACCACCTACTGTTGTCTTGTACCACCTTCTGTTGTCTTGCACCACCTTCTGTTGTCTTGTACCACCTATTGTTGTCTTGTACCACCTACTGTTGCCTTGTACCACCTTCTGTTGTCTTGCACCACCTATTGTTGTATTGTACCACCTACTGTTGTCTTGCACCACCTTCTGTTGTCTTGTACCACCTACTGTTGTCTTGTACCACCTTCTGTTGTCTTGTACCACCTACTGTTGTCTTGCACCCTTTACTGTTATCCTGTACCACCTACTGTTAGTCTTGCACCACGTACTATTATCCTGTACCACCTACTGTTGTCTTGCACCACGTAGTTATCCTGTACCACCTACTGTTGTCTTGCACCACATTAAATCTATTGTTTATTCTTATTTTTTGCAGGCTGGTATTGTATTTTTAAAGTCATACCTGTCGTACTGTGTTCCTTCAGCCACACCTGTTGTATTCATCAGCAATCTATCTTCACTATGGATCTGACAGGTGTGTAGTAGGGTATGTGATGGAGAGGTGTGTCTGGTGTTATGTGTTGGTGTTCTCCTGTGCTGTGACAGGCATGTAGTAGGGTGTGTGATGGACAGGTGTTTGGTGTCATTTGTGTGGTGGTGTTCACTTGTGCTATGACAGGTGTGTAGTAGGGTGTAATGGAGAGGTATGTTTGGTGTCACACATGTGCTGGTGTTCGCTTGTGCTGTGACACATGAATCCTGATGCTGGAGCATTATATGTACTGTACTTGAGAATGAATCTGATTTGATGTAGAACAATCTAGAATGTTTATCCTACAACCTCCTAGAGGTAATCTGACTTGTTTTATAAAATGTTCTGTGGGAAATAGGAATTCCATGGTTTACCAGTGATTTCTTTCCTGAAGAGGTGAGGGTATGACCTCACCTTCACCTATCCAGTTACTGGCCAGGTGGTGTAAATGTATGTGTGCGCACCTGGTAGGCAGACCGCTAATTTTCTTGTCTAATACTGGCCAGAGAACACAATGAAGCACTGTGAATATACGAATCCACCATTAGCATTTTCATCTACCATTTGGGTACAACAAATATTCTAATAGAAGCCATACAGCATTACAAAAATGCAAATGTATACTGTTGTGTGAAGGTGCAATGGAGTGTAACCTAACTGAAGTTGCTTTCCATCTTGGAACAGTGTTCCTAGCATCCTCTTCCCTGTCCCTGGCTTTATTATCTTGGCTTAACTGTAATGTGGTAGCAGGTGTATACATAATCATGTGTGTTGTGATGGGTGTGGTACCAGGTATGTTATCAGGTGTGTATTATTACAGATGTTTAGTGATAAGGCTTCTGGTGATAAGGCTTCATTAACAGAAAGTAAATAACAGAATGTTAAGCAAAGAAGAGAGAGGAGGTACAAGAGAAAGAAGGATGTACTTAAAAAAGTTGTAGGAGGGGAAGAAGAAACAGAAAGTGGAGGATTAGGGGAAAGAAAACACAAATAAAAAAAGTAAAGAAACAGAACAAAATAAACTGAAGAAAGAGAAAATGTTAAATAAAATGACCAGATTATCTAGCTAAAATATTAATGCTTAAGTAACCATCCTCAACTGAAACTTTAATAAATAAATAAAACTACATGTATTTGGTCAGTGCACGAGGGACTGATTACTTCCTGATGTTCACCATTCTTCTTTGTATAGGACTGATGAAGCCAGTGTATGGCAAAACATTCCCTCAATACAGATTCCCATATGTTGCATGTCTCATTCTTATTCTGTCTGCTGGGTAAGTTAACGACTGGGGCATCACTTATCAGCCTCACATTGCTCTACGGGTATTTTTAGTTTTAGTGGGAATCCGGTCACTGACTCCGGTAGAAGTATAGGTGCCCTGCTCTGCTGGGTATTAGGAAAAGGAATCAACAGGTAACGTGACCTAATTGGTACCATTAAGTTCCTGTTTGTCTGCAAAATGAATACTAGTTTCCTTATCTTATCCCTTTCCTGTTATCTTCCGTCTTTGGGTAAGACTTGTTGTTGTTGGGCTTATGAGAGCCAAGGGTAAGACTTCTTTCTCTGACATCGGAAAGCAGGACTATAAGGCGAAAGGTATCAGTGGCTCTTAATACAATTCACACACACACACACACACACAAAAAAAAAAATAGCATGTTTCGGCCCGAAGCCACTTTATAAGTTTCATTCCTTATGTGCGAGTTATTTTTGTAATGAGGTGTTTTGCCATATCCTGGGAGTGATCATGTCGGAGGATCTCACCTTCAAGGACCATAACATTGTATCAATCGCATCTGCTAGAAAAATGACAGGATGGATAATGAGAACCTTCAAAACTAGGGAGGCCAAGCCCATGATGACACTCTTCAGGTCACTTATTCTATCTAGGCTGGAATATTGCTGCACACTAACAGCACCTTTCAAGGCAGGTGAAATTGCTGACCTAGAAAATGTACAGAGAACCTTCACGGCGCGCATAACGGAGATAAAACACCTCAATTACTGGGAGCGCTTGAGGTTCCTGAACCTGTATTCCCTGGAACGCAGGCGGGAGAGATACATGATTATATACACCTGGAAAATCCTAGAGGGACTAGTACCGAACTTGCACACGAAAATCACTCGCTACGAAAGCAAAAGACTTGGCAGACGATGCAACATCCCCCCAATGAAAAGCAGGGGTGTCACTAGCACGTTAAGAGACCATACAATAAGTGTCAGGGGCCCGAGACTGTTCAACTGCCTCCCAGCATACATAAGGGGGATTACCAACAGACCCCTGGCAGTCTTCAAGCTGGCACTGGACAAGCACCTAAAGTCGGTTCCTGCAGCCGGCTGGGCTCGACGTGAGTTTCGTGCAGCCAGCAGCAACGCTGGTTGACAGGTTTGATCACCAGGAGCCTGTCACAACAGGCCGGGGTTGACCCCGGAACTCTCTCCAGTAAACTCCAGGTAAGGTTGCCTGGAGGTGTCTTACGTCACTAGAAGCTTCTATTCCAAGGAGCTGGAGTTGGGCCCGGACACCCTACGTATGGTAACACCATTGGCCTCACAGGAAGGTCCTTATGCTGGTGAGGGGCTCTTGATTCAGGATGGATCTGTAGCTCTCATTCCCTAATTAACCCTAAGGAAGGTCTTGAGTTGTGAGGGCTCTTGATTTAGGGAATTGATCTGTGCTCAGTTCCCGAATAAGCCTGAATGCCTCCACATCCCCCCCCCAGGCTCTTTAATCCTCGGGTTTAGCGCTTCCCCCTTGATTATAATAATAATAATCCCTGAATTAAGCCTGAATACCTTCCACATCCCCCCACAGGCGCTGTATAATCCTACGGGTTTAGCGCTTCCCCTTGATTATAATAATAATAATAATAATAATAATAATAAGCACCATTGACAAATGTCCTCATTCCATGCACAGCCTGCGGGGCAATTGATCAATGGACCCATCAGTTCCTTCCCTCTGTGGAAATATAAACACATATGCAGTATAATGTGATCCTTTATTGACGTTTCACCCACACAGTGGGCTTTTTCAAGTCACACACAGATCTACCTGGGGTGGAAGGTACGGGAGTATTTATAGTCATGTTCAGAATGTTGAGGTCAGGTGGAGAATGCTGCAGCTGATGATCTACCGGGTGGAGATAATATGGAGTCTTGGGTAGCTTGGCAGGGGTATTGGACAAGTTGTGAGTAGACCTTCTGCAGTGTTCTCTGTCCTTATGTGGGATAGCGATGAAGAAGTTTCTTGGCGAGTGGTTCAGCTATGTTATAGAAGCCGTTGTTCTGGTTGAAATTGTTGGTTATAGAGATAAGCGATGATTCCAGGATTCCCTCTGTTGGTTTGTACGTCGTTGCTGACTCTGGAGGAGTGTGGATGTCTGGTTCTGTCCGGTATTTTGGTGTCGGCTGCACCTGGCTTCTTTTTGATTATAATAATAATAATAATAATAATAAATAATAATAATAATAATAATAATAATTGTAGGTACAGGTACATTTAAACACACTTATCATACATAATGTAAATGTCTATTCCTTTCACTTTGACCTTTTTCTAAGTTATCCTCGATAATCTACACATACTGTTATGTATGATAATTTATGTAACTATTTATGCGTACCTATACCTGAATAAACTTAATTATTTACTTCCCAATTCCCACCCAACGTTGGGCACTGTTCCGTAACAAGGACCCCAGTAGAAATAAGTCGCTTTGCCTGATTTTTTGGGTTATCCTAGGGTAATATACACATATGCTGCTATGTATGATAATTTATGTACCTGGAGTTTACCTGGAGAGAGTTCCGGGGGTCAACGCCCCCGCGGCCCGGTCTGTGACCAGGCCTCCTGGTGGATCAGAGCCTGATCAACCAGGCTGTTGCTGCTGGCTGCACGCAAACCAACGTACGAGCCACAGCCCGGCTGGTCAGGAACCGACTTTAGGTATTTATGTATTTATGTGCACCTATACCTGCAATCAGACTGATAACAAATTCCCACTCGCGACAGCATACTCCACCTCTATTCAAAAGTCTAAATTTGCTCACCATTAAGAACATCCATACTAATTCATGTGCCTACTACATATACAGAACAATACACGCAAATATAAACCCTCCACTCAAACTTCTCCTCACCAACCTTAACAGGACACATAACCATAACACAAGACACAGATCTCTTTTTGATGTACCTCGTGTCCATATCACACTGTGTAAAAACTCTATGCACATAAAGGGCCCCAAAATCTGGAATTCATTACCAGAACATACTAAAGTAACCCGGCCTGAAAATCAGTTTAAGACTCTTTTAAAAAACCACTTACTCGCTCAGGACTAAATAATCAACACTCAATAATTACCAATAATTCTTCCAATTAAATCTTAAAACTTCAAGACAACATATAATAAACTGGTCATCTTGTTTGTTATACATTGTAATGCGACAAATTTGTACAACTATAATGCTTCAATATCGAAATATTCAAATTTTATTGTTTTAAATACTCAATTGTACTTCATATTGTAAATTGTTTGCTGTTTTTTACCACTGAACCTTTTATTGCTTGTTAATTTTAAGTTAATTTTAAGCCTGCCCATAATGCTTTGCATACAATTGGCTTTTGGCATGTACATCCAACTACTATAATTCATTGTACAACTATGTATTATGTCCAAATAAACTATGTGGATGAATATGAATAAACTTACTATTCCCCAGAAACTGGTCAGTAGGGTTCATTAAGGCGTAAGCTGTAGTGGCCCTTAATACCCCAACACCACCATTTGTTGTTGTTGATGTTTAAATCCAGGAAGCTGAGATTAGTGTCTGGGTCTTAGTGGTGTGTGGACGTCTTGCTCTGCCTTGAACCTTCCTGACATCACCCTTAAACCTATTTGGGCTGTTGCCCTTAATCTTTTGTCGCCAGCTGGACGCTGCAGTGGTGGAACAACCACACGAGTTTGGTTAACTCAAATATTTGTGGAGGAAGCTGGTTACTTATCTTCACTCAGGGTGAACATTTGTTCCCTTTATATTTTGGGAAGCTTGTCCCATTTTCCTCTTTTTGTCCAGATTTGGGCAATATATCTTTCCTGGCTGCTACCCATATGGGCTTAGCGCTTGTTTTTGATAATATCCATCCTGGATGTTGGGAGGTTGAACTCGACACAGCTGACAGTGGTTCTTCATATTCTCCAACTTTGCTCATCGCTCACAAAAAGAAAGTTATTTATGAATCTACGTTTCACAGCAATGTTGGTGAGGCTCTTGATTTAGGGAATTGGATCTGTGCTCCAGTTCCCCGAATTAAGCCTGAATGCCTTCCACATCCCCCCCAGGCGCTGTATAATCCTCCGGGTTTAGCGCTTCCCCCTTGATTATAATAATAATAATACGTTTCACAGCATAGACAAAGATGGAAAACTGCCCAAAAAACTTGAAACGATGGTGGTGGAGGAACTGCCGTCTTAGTATATGTCGAGATCTACTGGACAGAGTAAAATTTTTCTTCCATACACTGCACTTAAACTATATTTACACATCATGTTGTAGTAATAAGTACACTGAGAAAATAGTGGAGATAATAAGAAGGAATGTTGCAACATTTACTAAATCTCGTAAGTATTCCTACATTTTATAAAACTACAATGCTATATTATTATTACTGTACCAGTGTAGATAACTCAGTGATTTCTTAAGACACCAGTTTGCTATGTCAAGGACCCTAGTGGAAGTAAGTCACTTTTGACATTTTTTCTGGGTTATCCTAGGTTAGATAAGATTTTGGATTTTTAACCCAGAACGTTAGCAACCAAGGATAACCCAAGAGAGTCGGTGCATCATCGAGAGACTATCTGTCTTATTTCCATTGTGGTCCTTCAGTTTTGTCCCCCAGGATGCGACCCACACCAGTTGACTAACACCCAGGTATAATAATAATAATAATAATAATAATAATAATAATAATAATAATAATATCTTTATTTACTACAAGTACATGTACAAGGAATACAGGCATTGCTGACATCAATGACATACTACTATATAGAAAACCACTTGTTATGCTGAGCATTTCGGGCAAATTAGGTTAGTTTTGTCCCAGGATGCGACCCACACCAGTCATCTAACACCCAGGTACCCATTTTAAACTGATGGGTGAACAGGGACAGGGACAGCAGGTGTCTTATGGAAACATGTCCCTAATGTTTTCCAGCCATACCGGAGGAGATTCGAACCCCGGACCTCAGTGTGTGAGCTGAGTGTGCTAGTGATCGAGCTATGGGACGCCTGCTTACTGCTAGGTGAACAGTTACAGCAGATGTAAGGAAACACGCTCAGTGTTTCCACCCGGCAGGGGATTGAACTGCTGGCACTCAGTGTGTGAGGCACAAGCATTGTCTTCCAGGCAATGGGACACCATAATTTATGCTATGTATGATAATTGTACTTATGTATACTCATGCCTAAATAAACATTCTGTTTATGAGTTTAGTGCTTCCACTGATTAAAATAAATAAATACATCTGTGATGTCTGGGGACTTGATTTATGACCAGGTACTACAGGCTTTTCTTGGTGTGCCAGAATTTGTATTAAGGGAAGATGTTTGGTGTGAATATTATGCAGAGTATTCAGGGTGTGGAGATTAGAAGTTGAAGTATTACCAAAAATATAAGTCAGAGGGGTTGTTGAGGTGGTTTGGCCTCTTAGAAAGTATGGAGCAAAAGAGGATGACTAGTGGAGAGGAGAGTAGTAGTTGTCCCAGGAAAGTTTGGGGTAAGGAGTACAGGAGGTTTTTGAGTGCTGGGGGCTTGAACATCTTGACAGGCATATGGAGTGCATTAGATATGAGTAAGTATATGTAAGTGGTTTAAGTGATCTGACATGCAGTTGCAGTGTGAGGAAGGTTACATTTATGAAGGAATTCAGAGAAACTGGTTAGCCAGACTTGAGTCCGGAAGGTGGGTAATGCAATGCCTGCACTCTAAAGAATGCGTGAGGATATTGCAGTTCGAAGGGTTATCCAGACTGTTACATTAGTGTGCCTCTGACAAAACAAGGATTGAATGAGAGATGGTGAATGTGTTTTCCCTCTTTTGGGGGGCCACCCTACCTTAGTGGAAGATGGTTGGTGTATTGAAAGAAAATGACCATTTGGTGTATGTGTGGTATACTGATTTTTTTTGGTTAATATTAGTCAAGAAACTAAGAATTTGCAAAGTCTCAGAATGAATCTCTTATGTTTTATATGTTACATTGGGTATGCTTTATGCTCATTCATTTTATGTGCTATGGGCCAGGAATGTATGTACGTACTACGTAAAGAGTAGACATGTATATTACTTGCTTTGTGATGACAGAGAAATGTGCTTTTTCAGGATACAGCTGTGCAGATAAGGATAGCCGGACAAGGGTTTACCAGAGACGGTTTTGGATTCTGGCAGTATTTTCATTTTTGGCATGGTTTCAGGTTAGTTCCTCTCAAGATAATGTAGTTTTTCCCAGGTCAGAGATTTGTGGGGAAGAGTTGGAATTTAACAATTTATTAGTGTTTGCAGGAAATTAATAATGGTTTAGTGGATTGCTGATGAAGTAATAATAATAAATGTCTTCATTTCTACAATTATTTGATACAACTTATACAGACCTAGCATTTCAGGCAACTTAGGTTAATCTTGTCCCCTAGGATGCAACCCACACCAGTTGACTAACACCCAGGTACCAACTTGCTACTAGGTGAACAGGGATAGCATGTGTAAGGAAACACACCCAATGTTTCCACCCATACCGGGAATTAATATGAGGTAAATTCTGAGAATTGAGGACTATTAATATTTTCAGGGGAAACAACAACCCCATTGGAGTGATACAGCACCTGATTAATGGAAGGTAATCACCAGCACCTAAGCTTACTTGAATTGTGAAGACTGGTGGTTGAGTTTGATGTGCTTTACAAAATAAATAGTACTGTATGTTCTGAATTTCAGTATTAAGATGTTGAGCTTCTGTAGTAACTATGGAACCAAAAGTATTTGGGCCTATTAACTACTATGCAGTACAAGATAAATAAGAGAACATTCAAAAGGAGAATAAAAAAGATTACTAATGAGGGAGGGAGGGAATGAGAGGAGAGGGGAAAGGGAGGGAATGAGAGAGGGGAAAGGGAGTGAATGAGAGAAGGGAAAGGGAGGGAATGAGAGGGGAAATGGAGGGAATGAGAGAGGAGAGGGGGAAAGAGGGAATGAGAGAGGAGAGGGGAAAGAGAGAATGAGAGAGGAGAGGGGGAAAGAGAGAATGAGAGAGAAGGGAAAGGGAAGGAATAGAGAGGAGAGGGGAAAGGGAGGAAATGAGAGAGAGGAGAGGGGAAAGGGAGGAAATGAGAGAGGAGAGGGGAAAGGGAGGGAATGAGAGAGAGGAGAGGGGAAAGGAAGGGAATGAAAGAGAGAGATAGAGAGAGAGCGAGAGCAACAACCACCACCATATCAGTGACATGGGGTGGAACAGACTGATTTAATAATTCAGGCAGTTAATGTAAATGAAAACTAATGCTGGAGTTTACCTGCTGAATACATTGAGAAAATTATCCTTCAAGTTTGATAACTTTTTAATAATAAACTGTTTGTTCCTTAATATGAATGTTCATATGCCCAGCATGATCAGGATTTGAACCCACACTCTGGGATTACTAGCTTATCATCTTAACCCCACTGAACCATAGTAGTAATTTCTGACAGAGAGTTTGAATTCTGATCACTTTATAGATTTGTTACATTTGCTCATAAAGAATTTTAGGCACATGTGCCTGTGTTTTATGGGAAACCTAATGCTTGTAATGTTTGTTTCTATGGTCTTGTGTTTCAGTGCGTACAATGGGGCCTGTGGGGTCCCATTAGTGAGAGTGTTGGTGCAGCTTATGAAGGTTGGGGATCTGAAACAGTGGCAATGATGTCCAACTGGGGCACAATAACATTTGCACTCTTTGTTGTGCCAATGTGTTGGCTGATGGACACCAAAGGGCTGCGTGTAGGTGTGATTACTTGTGGTGTACTGGTTGCCAGTGCAACAGTCGCCAGAATTATCCCCTTTATGACAGATTCTGTTGAATTCTTTACAGTGTAAGTACAGTACTAATGAGTTGATTCAGTCTGAAAAATGGCACTTAAATTAAAATCAGCATAATAATAATATATAGTAAACAGTACTTATTATAAGAGATTATTACAGCACAGTAAACCCTCCCTCCATTGAACAGATTTCGGAAATACGGAACAAAATCTGCTGGATCAGTAGATTTGGAAACAGTGGAAAGAGTCCTTTGGTCGCATAATTGTTCATTGTTCAAGTCACGGCAAGACAGTCTTTTCTCTAGCCATCACAGTTGCCATTCTGGCCACTTGCTCCCTCCAATTAGCCCGTTAATTACAGGATGTATTGTATATTCATGGGAAAGAGCTGAACTCATTGAGGTCATACAGCACCTGGGAAGTAATCAAGCTTGATCCAAGGAAGGGAAAACAACTTCAACTCTTTGGAATCATAGCAGCTCCCTAAAAGGATCAAATAAGGATATAAATGTATTTATAATTTAATGTTACTAGAGCAAGTGAAATGAGAAAGATTACTATTAAGGTGATAAGAATGAGAGTAAATGCAAGTGAGTGATATTATAGTCAATTTGTAGAGACTTGCACCAACCATGTGTCTATATCAAGGTGCATTGCAGGAATGATGCATCTCTTGCCAGTAATTTTATAATTTGAGAGAAATACAAAGGTAGCATAATTTTGTCTCCTACTTGGACTAAAGTATTACTTGTTATTGTGCTGGATAATGGTATAGTGTGATTTGCTTATTAGGTTCAAAGTGCATAAATTACACAGTAGTGATTAAGGCCGTAATACACTTGTACATTAAACATGAAAAGTACTTCAGTCTTCACATAAAAATTAAAGTACAACTTGGTTATTTATGCTAATAGATATACTTCTGAGTGTGTATACTACCATGTCAGTATAATGTACAATTCATATTAATTAATTTCCTTTTAATGCTGCACAGAATGTGCCACATTGGAGCCATATTGAATGGGATAGCAGGGACACTAATCATGTCTGCTCCACCAAAGATTGCAGCAGATTGGTTCCCACCCGGTGAGAGAACTACAGCGACAGGTAATATTACATCTAAAAATAAATTTACAAGCTATAATATGGTTATGGTTAAAATCTTAATGATAATGCATGCAGAGAGCATGCATAGTTCCTTTGTATAAAGGCAAAGGGGATAAAAGAGAGTGCAAAAATTATAGGGGGATAAGTCTGTTGAGTGTACCTGGTAAAGTGTATGGTAGAGTTATAATTGAAAGAATTAAGAGTAAGACGGAGAATAGGATAGCAGATGAACAAGGAGGCTTTAGGAAAGGTAGGGGGTGTGTGGACCAGGTGTTTACAGTGAAACATATAAGTGAACAGTATTTAGATAAGGCTAAAGAGGTCTTTGTGGCATTTATGGATTTGGAAAAGGCGTATGACAGGGTGGATAGGGGGGCAATGTGGCAGATGTTGCAAGTGTATGGTGTAGGAGGTAGGTTACTGAAAGCAGTGAAGAGTTTTTACGAGGATAGTGAGGCTCAAGTTAGAGTATGTAGGAAAGAGGGAAATTTTTTCCCAGTAAAAGTAGGCCTTAGACAAGGATGTGTGATGTCACCGTGGTTGTTTAATATATTTATAGATGGGTTGTAAGAGAAGTAAATGCGAGGGTTTTGGCAAGAGGCGTGGAGTTAAAAGATAAAGAATCACACACAAAGTGGGAGTTGTCACAGCTGCTCTTTGCTGATGACACTGTGCTCTTGGGAGATTCTGAAGAGAAGTTGCAGAGATTGGTGGATGAATTTGGTAGGGTGTGCAAAAGAAGAAAATTAAAGGTGAATACAGGAAAGAGTTTAAAGGTTATGAGGATAACAAAAGATTAGGTGATGAAAGATTGAATATCAGATTGGAGGAGAGAGTATGGAGGAGGTGAACGTATTCAGATATTTGGGAGTGGACGTGTCAGCGGATGGGTCTATGAAAGATGAGGTGAATCATAGAATTGATGAGGGAAAAAGAGTGAGTGGTGCACTTAGGAGTCTGTGGAAACAAAGAACTTTGTCCTTGGAGGCAAAGAGGGGAATGTATGAGAGTATAGTTTTACCAACGCTCTTATATGGGTGTGAAGCGTGGGTGATGAATGTTGCAGCGAGGAGAAGGCTGGAGGCAGTGGAGATGTCATGTCTGAGGGCAGTGTGTGGTGTGAATATAATGCAGAGAATTCGTAGTTTGGAAGTTAGGAGGAGGTGCGGGATTACCAAAACTGTTGTCCAGAGGGCTGAGGAAGGGTTGTTGAGGTGGTTCGGACATGTAGAGAGAATGGAGCGAAACAGAATGACTTCAAGAGTGTATCAGTCTGTAGTGGAAGGAAGGCGGGGTAGGGGTCGGCCTAGGAAGGGTTGGAGGGAGGGGGTAAAGGAGGTTTTGTGTGCGAGGGGCTTGGACTTCCAGCAGGCATGCGTGAGCGTGTTTGATAGGAGTGAATGGAGACAAATGGTTTTTAATACTTGACGTGCTGTTGGAGTGTGAGCAAAGTAACATTTATGAAGGGATTCAGGGAAACCGGCAGGCCGGACTCGAGTCCTGGAGATGGGAAGTACAGTGCCTGCACTCTGAGGAGGGGTGTTAATGTTGCAGTTTAAAAACTGTAGTGTAAAGCACCCTTCTGGCAAGACAGTGATGGAGTGAATGATGGTGAAAGTTTTTCTTTTTCGGGCCACCCTGCCTTGGTGGGAATCGGCCGGTGTGATAATAAAAAAAAAAATAAATAAAGAGGTTTCTGCTTATGACTTCTGATTGAGGCATCATGTTTTGCCATTTTTGTGTTATAGAAGTAATCTGATAGCTTTATTATAGACCACATACCCATCCTGTGGGTGATAGTCAAAATATTACAGAGGCAAATGATTCTGTTTACTAAGCAAGTTTCAGAAATAAGGAACTAGTTATAAATAAATGGATTCAGTAGCAGTAGTAATGAGATAGATGCACAATGGAGAAATTCACATCACATAAGCATGGCAACAAACCATATTCTGCAAAAGTGGAAAATGCGAATGTTGAGGGAGACCTGTATTGTGCAGAGATTTTTCAAGCAAAGCTGTTTTATACCAGTTAAGAGCTCTTGATCCAAAGAATTGGTGCTATTTTCCCCTTTCTTTGTGTCCATTTTATTGGACATATACTTTTGATAAGAACATTGGTATCTTATATCAGGGTTTCACAAGATGAAATCAGATGGGAAACAGGGCCTCGTATCATGCTAAAATAATACTTCCCACAAATTTGAATAAATCCTTTATAATTGAGGGTTAGAGCAGTTCTGATGAGAAATTTGGCATCCTCTGTCAGGGCTTTACTTGATGAAATCAAAAAGAAAAGTAAGGGAAAATCGATCGGCTGACCAGTAGAATGTCACATTTCAGTTCTTTGGATTCAGAGATTTCTGCCGATGTCACATTACACCCTTGGAGAAGAATCCTTCCTCTGTAAGGCATGTGTGTCATAAGAGGTGACTAATATGCCGGGAGCAAGGGGCTAATAACCCCTTCTGTATAAATTACTAAGTGTAAAAAGAAGAAAAACTATGAAAAAGATTTTTCTTTTTTGAATCATCCTGCCTTGGTAGGAGACAACCAGTGCATAAAAAAAAAAAATGCATATGAATGATATATACACATTTTCTCACAACACATAAATTGAAGACCAAACACTAGATGATGCTTTGAGCCTTCCAAAATCATCATCAGTCAATAATAGTTTAGAGAAGACTAATATTAAAATGTCTTTTAGCTTTTGTCTCCAATTTGTTGGTTGTAATTGTTCCATCTGTGGTACTGTGTCTTATATTTTTTTTTATATTTACTTATGCTAGCTGTCTCTATTTGCAGCTACATCACAGGTGCTGAACCAGCTGGGGATGGCAGGCAGTTACTTGCAACCCTTCTTCGTGCATGCTCCTACTGGTGATGTTACCAAGAACCAAATTAGGAGTGATATTAAAAGACTTTTATTCATTTGTAAGTTAGTTATTGGAATGCCATATACATATTTGCTAGAAAATTTAAAAAAAAAAAAAAATATTTACAGTAGGTTCCCACTTAATGCATTTATGAAAATTGTTCTGACCTGAGTGTTCATACCTCAACACCTATTTTTTCATAAACACTCATTTTATAGTCAAGAGAGGTGGTCCTCAGCCATAATATTCAGTATCTAATCTTATCCACTTTAACAATGAAATTTAAAACAATGTACAGTACTTTCTCTTCCTTTCCTTACCTTTTTCTCCTTCCTTTCATTCTTGCTATCTCTCTCCAATTTCCTAACCTCTCATATTCCTTCCTTCCCACTCTAGCTGGCACAACACTGCTTGATCAGTATCAACTGGACTGCATACTTTACATTTGCTCTCCACCCTGTCACTGTTATGGTGAAGGTATTAAGTGCCTCGACATATGGTTCGGGAAAGTAGTGGTGAGGATAATTGTATACTTGGGCTGTAGTGAAGGAGAGAGGGTTATGTGAGTGGGCTGAGCTACTGCATGTCAACCATTGATCATATACTGGACAAAGTTAATGCTGCCCAATAAACCATTTTAATTTTAAATATAATTCCCTTATCAGTGTCTAGCAAATGAACATGATCCCTCCACACAAACATAAAATGAACCTGCACATAATGTGAATGCATTTGGCAGAAACAAGTAGAGACAAAATAAAACTTAGGATTCAGTTTTAACAAAATTTGAATTATTATAGCTACAGTTGTTAACCAAAGTCTACCACACAGATTTGAGCCCTCCACACATACATAAAATGCAGATTGCACACAAAAAAATTATTTCCAGAAAATAATTTCTTTGAATTCGCCATGGGAAAGTGAAAAAGGATCCTTCCTCTGTAAGCCATGCGTCTCGTAAGAGACGACTAAAATGCTGGCAGCAAGGGTATAGTAGCCCTTTCTCCTGTATAAATTACTACATGAAAAATTAAAAACTTGGTTTTTCTTTTGGGCCATCCTGTTTTGGTGGGAGATGGCCAGGGCATTGAAAAATTTGTTTGAATGTTTACACTGTTGGTTTCTGCAGGTAGTCATTCATATAAAATTGTTAAACAAAGGGCCCCATTCATAAGTGACTTTGCTTGTAAGTCAGGCTCCTACTGTACTGTAAAAGAAAGCTTTCATTCTTGTGAAAAATAGGAGGTTTTGCTTTCTGCAGAGGAGAGCTTTGGGTTCAGTTACAGACACATGACTTATTACATGTCATCAAGTTTTCCTTTTGGATTGATCAGTAAGTTAACAAGATGAATTTAACCAAATTGTTAACCCATGGGGTTATTAACTCATGGTAACCCAAGAAAACACAGCAGTGTTGCTTTATTTCTTCTGGAGTTTTTGAGTCTTCTGCACTAGAACATGACCCATAACAGCTGACTAGTCCTTAGGTATCTGTTTACTGCCATGTGTAAGGAGACTTGCCTAAATGTCTCCTCACTCGTGATCAAAACCTAGGTTCTTTTGGTTGTGAACCAAGTGCTCTAACACTGAGCTATGAGACACCTGGGAAAACTAGATATATTCATAAACAGTTTATAACACTTCTATGGCTTCAGTTAATAATTCATCACAGATAAACCAAAAATTATGTAGGACTTCATGATTTTTGGTTTATATAGTGCAGTACGGGAGGGCCCCACATATACAGGATCTCTTTTTGGTGTTCCACGTTTTCATTGGCTTTTAATTGAGTCATTGTTCCACCAGCCAGCAGGTGGAACATAATGAAAAATGGCTCAATTTCAAGCCAATGAAAATGTGGAACACTGGAAAGGTGCTATATGTGCATGGCTCTCTATAGTACTGCACTATTAAAATAATTGTTTAAGCAAAAATTGAAATATTGATTGACAACTTACACTATATACTTCATTCTCCATTCATTTAAACGTTTAAGAGGGTGCTGGTGTAGGGGACAGTAGCTCTAGGAATTAGAGATACCGTCTGCTTAGATCATACCTGATTACTTCCCATTACCCAGGAACTGTGTGACCCCCTTACAGGTTTAGCACTTCCTGTATATATAATGCAGTAATTCATTCACATGACCACTAGCTGAGATGGCACTGTATCCACTTTAGATGCTGTTGTTGGAGTGACTGTGCTGATTGCTATCCTGGTGTACTTCCCTTCAAAACCTCCTGTTCCGCCATCTGTCACATCAGCTGTAGAAAGATTGAACTTCAAAGCCACTTTTAAGAAGATAATTAGGTATAATAATGTTTATACATATACAAAAAGTATTGCATAATAGAAATAATATTTTAAAACTTCTCAGGTATGATAATGTCAAGACTTCAATAATTGCATGATGGAAGTTATATTTTTATATTGCTATACTGAAAATATTTAGTACATACAGCATTTATATTTAAGATAGAGGAGGTAAAAAGTCATTTATAGTGTGATGAAGAGAAAATGGAAGGGTATGAAAGCTGCTAGAACATAAATCTGTAGGGGAAGGAGGGCGGGGTAGGGGTCGTCCTCGAAAAGGTTGGAGGAAGAGGGGTAAAGGAGGTGTTGTGGGCGAGGGGTCTGGACTTCCAGCAAGCGTGCGTGAGCGTGTTAGATAGGAGTGAATGGAGACGAATGGTATTTGGGACCTGACGAGCTGTTGGAGTGTGAGCAGGGTAATATTTAGTGAAGGGATTCAGGGAAACCGGTTATTTTATATAACCGGACTTGAGTCCTGGAAATGGGAAGTACAGTGCCTGCACTCTAAAGGAGGAGTTTGGGATATTGGCAGTTTGGAGGGATATATTGTATTTTTATACGTATATACTTCTAAAGAGGAGCGATTGGTGGAATGATGATGTAAAGAGAGTAGTAAGGGAGAAAAAGTTAGCATATGAGAAGTTTTTACAAATATCAGATTGGAGGGAGAGAGTATGGAGGAGGTGAACGTATTCAGATATTTGGGAGTGGACGTGTCAGCGGATGGGTCTATGAAAGATGAGGTGAATCATAGAATTGATGAGGGAAAAAGAGTGAGTGGTGCACTTAGGAGTCTGTGGAGACAAAGAACTTTGTCCTTGGAGGCAAAGAGGGGAATGTATGAGAGTATAGTTTTACCAACGCTCTTATATGGGTGTGAAGCGTGGGTGATGAATGTTGCAGCGAGGAGAAGGCTGGAGCAGTGGAGATGTCATGTCTGAGGGCAATGTGTGGTTGAATATAATGCAGAGAATTCATAGTTTGGAAGTTAGGAGGAGTGCGGGATTACCAAAACTGTTGTCCAGAGGGCTGAGGAAGGTTGTTGAGGTGGTTCGGACATGTAAGAGAATGGAGCGAAACAGAATGACTTCAAGAGATGTATCAGTCTGTAGTGGAAGGAAGGCGGGGTAGGGGTCGGCCTAGGAAGGGTTGGAGGGAGGGGGTAAAGGAGGTTTGTGTGCGAGGGGCTTGGACTTCCAGCAGGCATGCGTGAGCGTGTTTGATAGGAGTGAATGGAGACAAATGGTTTTTAATACTTGACGTGCTGTTGGAGTGTGAGCAAAGTAACATTTATGAAGGGATTCAGGGAAACCGGCAGGCCGGACTTGAGTCCTGGAGATGGGAAGTACAGTGCCTGCACTCTGAAGGAGGGGTGTTAATGTTGCAGTTTAAAAACTGTAGTGTAAAGCACCCTTCTGGCAAGACAGTGATGGAGTGAATGATGGTGAAAGTTTTTCTTTTTCGGGCCACCCTGCCTTGGTGGGAATCGGCCGGTGTGATAATAAAAAAAAAAAAATAAAATATACTTCTAAATTGTTGTGTTCTGGGCAACTCTGCAAAAACAGTGATTATGTGTGAGTGAGGTGAAAGTGTTGAATGATGATGAGAGTATTTTCTTTCTGAGGATTTTCTTTCTTTTTTGGGTCACCCTGCCTCGGTGGGAGACGGCCGACTTGTTGGAAAGGGAAAAAAAAAAGACTTACTTAATTTGAAAACCCATCCTGTATGATGAAGTGTGATAGGAAAAATCATTCTGTATGCTGACTTGTGTTAGAAAAAGTAATTTTTTGCTCTAACCTTGCAAAATATCAGGTATGAGCAGAGCCACACAAACTGGCATATCTAATTTTAATAAAAAATGTTTGAATAATCCTTATGTGTAAGGTATTGGAAGGAAGCCCAAATTAGTGAAGTGTTCCAAGATTTCAAATTGTAACTGTTTTCCTGCTTTCAGAAATCGAGATGTGTTGCTGGTGACAGTTGCGTATTCCATCTGTTTAGCAATTCCTGCCGCCTGGCTTTCTGTGCTCAATTATTCTCTTATTGATCTGGGAATGCATCAGGTATGTTATTTATTAATTATTTTTGTTACTTTTGAATGCTTCAGAAGATAATTTGTGTAACTCTTGTCCTAAATTTATAATCTGTTGATAAGTTGGTCTTTCTTAATTATGGAAACCGTTTTTCTGGAAATTTTGTACCTGTACTAACAACTAACTCTCGAGTAATGGCATAATGCAATACTTCTCATTTTGTAGAAAAGAATATGGAAGGAGCAAGCAATAGCACTAGTTTACTTTTGGGCTGTGGCATCTCCGTGGCATGAGAAAGAACCCCACATTGATCCAGGTCTGTTTACAAGTGAATCAAGAGGTTTATTATAGTTTTCCGTAATTTCAACATATGAAGCAGAGAGCAGAGATGTAGGCTGAAAATTTGCAATACAGTACAAAATCTTTTATTCATGCTGTATACTGACAAGGGCAGTAATGAGTGAAAGTCAGCGAAGATCAGAGGGAATACCAACTATTGCATTGTCTGCTGATATAATTACAAAATAGTACTAGAGTACTGGTATTTTTTTACCTATTCATTATCATTGAAAAACTAACTGAAGGCATGTTCAAGATTATAATTAATACTGCATTGTTGAACATCATTGGAAGGTTACTGTAGTAAGTCTGGTATTGTGAGGCCATGGCTGACTCCATCCCTCCCTCTCATGGCTGAAACACTAGGGCAAGTTCACACTTACAATGTCTCGTGTTGCCCCGGTGGGTTTAGAGCTTTTCTTGAATATATACAATACAGTAGGGTGCATGTGTATTATCAGAGACCCCTCAATAAATCAGGGACTGTATTCACTTGACCTTAAATCCTGCAGTCTCTCAAGCTCAGATATTTAGTTACAAAGAGCAAAATGCATAGGTAATTGTTTCATAAGGTAATACAGTGGACCCCCGCTTAACGATCACCTCCAAATGCGACCAATTATGTAAGTGTATTTATGTAAGTGCGTTTGTACGTGTATGTTTGGGAGTTTGAAATGGACTAATCTACTTCACAATATTCCTTATGGGAACAAATTCGGTCAGTACTGGCACCTGAACATACTTCTGGAATGAAAAAATATCGTTAACCGGGGGTCCACTGCATTTGTATTATCACTGGCAAAATAGTGTCTATGGAAGCAAAATGGGAAAATATCAGAGTATAGTGGTACCAGCACTTGTATGGGTGTGAAGCATCAGCTGTAAATGTTGCGATGAGGTGTTGAGTCAGTGCTGTCATGCTGGAGAGCACTTTGTGGTGTGAATAGTATTCAGAGAATTAGAAGTGTAGCATTTATTTTTTTTTTCTTCCAACAAGTTGACCATCTCCCACCTAGGCAGGGTGACCCAAAAAGAAAGAAAATCCCTAAAACAAAAATACTTTCATCATCATTCAACACTTTCACCTCACTCACACATAATTGCTGTTTTTGCAGAGGTGCCCAGATACAAAAGTTTAGAAGCATAAATAAAGATACAATATAAAAAGTGACCTGAAATAATAAAGTCCATATAGAATATAATATCAGGGCCCCAATTATATATATACCATCCTATTACACATCACTCCAATCTGCCAGTATCCCAAACCCCTCCTTCAAAATGCAGACATTGTATCTCCCATTTCCAGAACTCAAGTCTGGCTATATAAAAATAACTGGTTTCCCTGAATCCCTTCACTAAATATTACCTTGCTCACACTTCAACAGCTTGTCAGGTCCCTTGCCCACAAAACCTCCTTTACCCCCTCCCTCCAATCTTTTTGAGGACGACCCCTACCCTCCCTCCCTCCCCCTACAGATTTATATGTTCTCCATGTCATTCTACTTTGGACCATTCTCTCTAAATGACCAAACCACCTCAACAACCCTTCTTCAACCCTCTGACTAATACTTTTATTAACTCCACACCTTCTCTTAATTTCCACACTTCGAATTCTCTGCATAATATTTACACCACACATTGTCCCTAGACGGGATATCTCCACTGTCTCCAACCGCCTCCTCGCTGCAGCATTTACAACCCAAACTTCACACCCTATAAGAGTGTTGGTACCACTATACTTTCCTACATTCCCTTCTTTGCCTCCATTGATAACATTTTTTGTCTCTACATATACCTCAATGCACCACTCACCTTTTTTCAATCATCAATTCTATGGTTAACCTCATCCTTCATAAACCCATCTGCTGACACATCAACTCCCAAATATCTGAAAACATTCACTTCTTCCGTACTCCTTCTCTCCAATGTGATATTCAGTTTTTTTTTATCTAAATCATTTGATACCCTCATCACCTTACTCTTATCTGTATTCAATTTCAACTTTCTTCCTTTACACACCCTCCCAAATTCGTCAACTAACCTTTGCAACTTTTCTTTAGAATCACCCATAAGCACAAAATCATCAGCAAAAAGTAACTGTTGTCAACTCCCATTTTGTATTTGATTCCCATAATTTAATCCCTTCCCTCTCCCCAACACCCTAGCCTTTACTTCTTTTACAACCCCATCTATAAATATATTAAACAACCATGGTGACATTACACATCTCTGTCTAAGGCCTACTTTTACCGGGAAGTAATCTCCCTCTCTTCTACACACCCTAACCTGAGCCTCACTATCCTCATAAAAACTCTTTACAGCATTTAGTAACTTACTACCTATTCCATATATACTTGCAACATCTGCCACATTGCTCCCCTATCCACTCTATCATATGCCTTTTCTAAATCCATAAATGCAATGAAAATTTCCCTACCTTTATTTAAATACTGTTCACATATATGCTTCAATGTAAACACTTGATCTACACATCCCCTACCCACTCTAAAGCCTCCTTGCTCATCCGAAATCCTACTCTCTGTCTTACCTCTAATTCTTTCAATAATGACCCTACTGTACACCTTTCCTGGTTGAGTTACCGAAGTTTAATTCAGAGGGCCAATGAAGAGTTGTTGAGGTTGTTTGGGCATTTAAGAAAGGTTGGAGCAGAATAGAATGACCAAGAGAATGTATAAATCTGGGGTGGAAGGAAACAAGGGTAGAGTCATTTCAGAAAAGGTTGGAGGGAGGGAATAAATAGTTTTTGAGTGCTAGAGGCTTCAGCATCTAGAAGGTTTGTGTGAATGTGTTAGATCAGGGAGTGTAGAGACATGGTTTCAGGGATTTAATGTGCTGTTGGAGCATAAACAGGCTAGCATTTATGAAGGAATTTGGGGAAACTGGTTAGCCAGACTTGAATCCTGGAAGTGGGAAGTACAGTGCCTGCACTCTTAAGTTAGGGTGGGGATATTTCAGTTCAGAGGGTCATACGAATTGTGATGTCTGCACAAGACAGCTGTTGAATGAATAGTGGGAGATAGCTGGTGTGGTAAAAGCTAAATTACCAACAGTATTAGGTAAATGAACACATTTCATTCACCAAGGAGCTATATTGAGCTATTACTGGTTTCATAAAGCTCCTAGTGAGCAAAACATAGCCATAATAAATGTCCATTACTTGCTCTTGTGTCCATTTACCTAACAAGTTAACAGTTAACTGTGATGTAGGCATGTTTCTGACAAGGCAGTAATTGAGTGAGTGATGGTGAATGTGTATCCTCTGTTTGGTCACCCTTCCTTGGCGAGAGATGGCTGCTGCAATAAAAAATATACTTCACTTTTATTTAAGTACTAAGTGCTAATTTAAAAGTATTACTTTTTTTTTTTGACATTTGTTTTATTGTGTATATGAGTGAGAAAAAACTGCTTGATTTTGAATGACATATCATTCAAGATTTAACGTAGTCATTAAGGGATGTGAGAACGAGAAACGAAAAAAATAAGATAATTGTTTTGTTTCCTAAGGATGATGCTATGTGGGTTGGGCTGACAGCGGTGCTAGTGCAAGGTGTGGTCGGTCTTCTGGTGGGGCGTATGACTGACTTAGTTTATGGCTATATCAAGGTATCACTTCTGGCTTTCATGATCACGTCTTTATGCTGCTTTTATTGGTTTTACCTCTTGACAATGGGCTCCATCACCGTAACAAAATGTAAGTGTGCTTAATGTCAGATATTTCACTTATGACTTTCTTGCATTAATGGGTTTATTTTATATGCTACAATATTAAAATTACAAGTGTTATAAAAGTGTGCTTAAATTCAATAATTAAAAGTACAGTGGACCCTCGGGTAACGGCATTAATCCGTTCCAGAGAGCTTGCCTTTAACCAATTTTGCCATTAGCCGAATTAATTTTCCCGATAAGAAATAATGGAAATCCAATTAATCTGTTTCAGACAGCCAGAAGTATTAACAAAAAAAAATATTTTTTTTAAAGATTAAATATACATATACAGAAAACAATGACAAATAAATATAAAGCACTAATAAATGGATAAATGAACATTTAAAATCATACTTACCTTTATTAACTCTCGTTAGTGTATGGAAGACAGGTAGGAGGCGAGTTTATTGTGCTTCAATATGACGCTAAAATCATCTCTACTGCTTATTTATCTATCACAATTCATCTAATATGACATAATAAACAATATTAATAACATAGAAACATGATATATACTCTAGAATGAATAAAATGTGTTATAATGTATGAGAGGAGTAAGTGGTGGAAGTGTTGTTGTCAGGTTTATAAGGGCCACCGAGAGAAGCCGTACATATTAGTGGTGGTAGAGGCAGCAGCAAAGCCACCAACACTGTCACACTTAACCCGTAAACGGTCCAAGCAGATCCATGTTCACATGCGTAATGCTCCAAAAGTAGATCTGTTTTTTATGCATATTTTCAAATATAACAAAAAAACAAAAGTAGATCAAAGTTTTTTACACGTTTTCAGATGTAAAAAAAAAAAGATCTACTTTTTTTTACATACTTTCAAATGTTGAAAAAACGTATATATACGTTTGGACCGTTTACGGGTTAAACAATGTATGTAATTTATAAATAAGAAATATTTACATTTTAATTTATAAATAAGTAAGTTTATTCATGTGTACACAAATGCAGTTAGGTAAGTACAGTGGACCCCCGCATACCGTTGGCCTTACATAACGTTAAATCCGCATACCGCTACATTTTATCGCCAAGATTTTGCCTCGCATACCGCTAAAAAACCCGCTCAACGCTGTTCGTCTGAGACGCGTCTATGTGCGGCCTGAGCCACGCTCACATGTTCCGCCGGTGGCATTGTTTACCAGCCAGCCTCCGCGGTAACATCCAAGCATACAATCGGAACATTTCGTATTATTACAGTGTTTTTGGTGATTTTATCTGCAAAATAAGTGACCATGGGCCCCAAGAAAGCTTCTAGTGCCAACCCTGCAGCAATAAGGGTGAGAATTACTATAAAAGATAAAAAAAAGATCATTGATAAGTATAAAAAGTGGATTGCGTGTCTCAGAGCTGGCCAGGTTGTATATAGTAACCCCAATCAACCATCGTATTTATTGGTGGTACAGGCTGCTGCGCTGCGTACCACCGTCAGCGCTCTGCTCCCTGCACTGTCAGCTGCTGTGCTGCGCTGTGTAGCACCGTCAGCTGCTGTTTGTCCCACCGTCAGCTGTTTCTGTAGTACCGTCTGCTGCTGCTGTAGCACCGTCTCTGCTGCTGTAGCATCGTCTGCTGCGCTGTAGCATCTCTCCCTTGCTGTTTGTAGCATCGGTCTGCTGCTGCTGTAGCACTGTCATGCTGCTGTTGTACCACCGTCACTGCTGCTGTAGCATCGTCTGCTGCTGCTGTAGCATCGTCTCCCTGCTCCCTGTAGCACTGCAGCTGCTGCTGCTGTAGCACTGCAGCTGCTGCTGCGTTGTACCACCGTCAGCTGCTGCTGCTGCTGCTGTGTAGTACCTTTCTCCCTTGCTGCTGTAGTACTGTCTGCTGCTGCTGTAGCATCGTCTGCTGCTGCTGTACCCCTTCAGCTGCTGCTGCTGTTGAAACCACCTCAGCTGCTGCTGCTGCTGGCTGCTGTAGTACCGTCGCTGCTGCTTGTACCCGTCCTGCTGTTTGCTGTAGTACCGTCTGCTGCTGCTGTAGTATCGTCTGCTGCTGCTGTAGCACTGCCCGCTGCTGCTGCTGCTGCTGCTGTAGCCCCGTTGTTGGGTGTGGCTTATTGAGAAACCAAGAAACAATTAACCCCCAGAGGATTTGCCCCCCAGGATAACCCAAAAAAGTCAGTGTCATCGAAGACTGTCTAACTTATTTTCCATTGGGGTCCTTAATCTTGTCTCCCAGGATGCAACCCACACCATAGACTAACACCCAGGTGAACAGGGAAAATGCCTGGAACTAGTGCTCATATTGGTGAATTTAAAGCCAGCAAGGTTGGGTTTTTGAGAGATTTAAGAATCGAGTGGCATACACAGTGTGATAAGGCCTGTTCTGGAAGAAAATGCTAAACAGGACCTACAGTACTCAGGGGGAAAAAAGGCACTCCCAGGACACAGTGTCTCATCAGTCATTGCTGCATCTTCAATAAAGGTAAGTGTCATTTATTCTTCATTTAGTAGAGTAGTACATGCACAATATATATTGTGCATGTACTACTCTACTATTGTGCATGTATCCTCTTTGTGTGTAGGAAAATGTATATTTCATGTGGTAAAAATTTTTTTTCATACTTTTGGGTGTCTTGCACGGATTAATTTGATTTCCATTTTTTCTTATGGGGAAAATTCATTCGCATAACGATAATTTCGCATAACAATGAGCTCTCTTGCATGGATTAATATCGCTATGCGGGGGTCCACTGTACATATATAGATTATCATACATAGCAGCATATGTATAAAGTACCTAGGATAACCCAAAAAAGTCAGAGTGACTTATTTCCATTGGGGTCCTTTTATATTTACACTTATATTTACTTTTATAGGTAGTAGGTTGGTAGACAGCAACCACCCAGGGAGGTACTACCGTCCTGCCAAGTGAGTGTAAAACGAAAGCCTGTAATTGTTTTACGTGATGGTAGGATTGCTGGTGTCTTTTGTTTGTCTCATAAATATGCAAGATTACAGGTATGTCTTGCTACTTCTACTTACACTTAGGCCACACTACACATACATGTACACATTTATTTATACACACTCATCTGAGTTTTCTTTGATTTTATCGTAATAGTTCTTGGTCTTATTACTTTTCCTTTTATATCCATGGGGAAGTGGAATAAGAATCTTTCCTCTGTAAGCCATGTGTGTTGTAAAAGTCAACTAAAATGCCGGGAACAATGGGCTAGTAACCCCTTTTCCTGTAAAGATTACTAAAAAGAATAAGAAGAAAATTGTCAAAGTGGGAAGTCTGAATGTGCGTGGATGTTGTGCAAATGATAAGAAAGAGATGATTGTGGATGTTATGAATGAGAAGAAACTGGATGTCCTGGCTTTAAGTGAAACAAAGCTGAAGGAGGTGGGAGAGTTTCAATGGAGAGGAATGAATGGGATTAGGTCAGGGGTTTCAAATAGAGTTAGAGCTAAAGAAGGAGTAGCAATAATGTTGAAGGATAAGCTATGGCAGGAAAAGAGGGACTATAAATGTATTAATTCAAGGATTATGTGGAGTAAAATAAAGATTGGATGTGAAAAGTGGGTTATAGTAAGTGTGTATGCACCTGGAGAAGAGAGAAGTGTAGAGGAGAGAGAGAGAGATTTTGGGAAATGTTGAGTGAATGCGTGGGGAGTTTTGAATCAAGTGCGAGAGTAATGGTGGTTGGGGATTTCAATGCTAAAGTGGGTAAAAATGTTATGGAGGGAGTAGTAGGTAAATTTGGGGTGCCAGGGGTAAATGTAAATGGGGAGCCTTTAATTGACCTATGTGTAGAAAGAAATTTGGTAATAAGTAATACATATTTTATGAAAAAGAGGATAAATAAATATACAAGGTATGATGTAGCACTTAATGAAAGTAGTTTGTTAGATTATGTATTGGTGGATAAAAGGTTGATGGGTAGGCTCCAGGATGTATACATGTTTAGAGAGGGGCAACTGATATATCGGATCATTATTTAGTTGTAGCTATAGTTAGAGTAAGAGGTAGATGGGAAAAGAGGAAGGTGGCAACAAGAAGTAAGAGGGAGGTGAAAGTGTATAAACTAAGGGAGGAGGAAGTTCGGGTGAGATATAAGCGACTATTGGCAGAAAGGTGGGCTAGTGCAAAGATGAGTAGTGGGGGGGGCTGAAGAGGGTTGGAATAGTTTTAAAAATGCAGTATTAGAATGTGGGGCAAAAGTTTGTGGTTATAGGAGGGTGGGGGCAGGAGGAAAGAGGAGTGATTGGTGGAATGATGAAGTAAAGGGTGTGATAAAAGAGAAAAAGTTAGCTTATGAGAGGTTTTTACAAAGCAGAAGTGTTATAAGAAGAGCAGAGTATATGGAAAGTAAAAGAAAGGTGAAGAGAGTGGTGAGAGAGTGCAAAAGGAGAGCAGATGATAGAGTGGGAGAGGCACTGTCAAGAAATTTTAATGAAAATAAGACAAAATTTTGGAGTGAGTTAAACAAGCTAAGAAAGCCAAGGGAAAGTATGGATTTGTTAGTTAAAAACAGAGTAGGGGAGCTAGTAGATGGGGAGAGGGAGGTATTAGGTAGATGGCGAGAATATTTTGAGGAACTTTTAAATGTTGAGGAAGAAAGGGAGGCGGTAATTTCATGCACTGGTCAGGGAGGTATATCATCTTTTAGGAGTGAAGAAGAGCAGAATGTAAGTGTGGGGAAGGTACGTGAGGCATTACGTAGAATGAAAGGGGGTAAAGCAGCTGGAACTGATGGGATCATGACAAATATTAAAAGCAGGGGGGGATATAGTGTTGGAGTGGTTGGTACTTTTGTTTAATAAATGTATGAAAGAGGGGAAGGTACCTAGGGATTGGCAGAGAGCATGTATAGTCCCTTTATATAAAGGGAAAGGGGACAAAAGAGATTGTAAAAATTATAGAGGAATAAGTTTACTGAGTATACCAGGAAAAGTGTACGGTAGGGTTATAATTGAAAGAATTAGAGGTAAGACAGAATGTAGGATTGCGGATGAGCAAGGAGGTTTCAGAGTGGGTAGGGGATGTGTAGATCAAGTGTTTACATTGAAGCATATATGTGAACAGTATTTAGATAAAGGTAGGGAAGTTTTTATTGCATTTATGGATTTAGAAAAGGCATATGATAGAGTGGATAGAGGAGCAATGTGGCAGATGTTGCAAGTACAGTGGAACCTCAAATATCGAACTTTCTTCAGTCCAGAAGGCTGTTCGAGTGCCTTTACCGAATGAATTTATTCCCATCAGGAATAATGTAAATTAGATTAGTCCATTTCAGACCCTCAAAAATACACTTATAAAAGCACTTACAAAAATACACTTACATAATTGGTTGTGTTGGGAGCAGTTCGATTTTTGAGGTTCCACTGTACGTATATGGAATAGGTGGTAAGTTACTAAATGCTGTAAAGAGTTTTTATGAGGATAGTGAGGCTCAGGTTAGGGTGTGTAGAAGAGGGGGAGACTACTTCCTGGTAAAAGTAGGTCTTAGACAGGGATGTGTAATGTCACCATGGTTGTTTAATATATTTATAGATGGGGTTATAAAAGAAGTAAATGCTAGGGTGTTCGGGAGAGGGGTGGGATTAAATTATGGGCAATCAAATTCAAAATGGGAATTGACACAGTTACTTTTTGCTGATGATACTGTGCTTATGGGAGATTCTAAAGAAAAATTGCAAAGGTTAGTGGATGAGTTTGGGAATGTGTGTAAAGGTAGAAAGTTGAAAGTGAACATAGAAAAGAGTAAGGTGATGAGGGTATCAAATGATTTAGATAAAGAAAAATTGGATATCAAATTGGGGGGAGGAGTATGGAAGAAGTGAATGTTTTCAGATACTTGGGAGTTGAAGTGTCGGCGGATGGATTTATGAAGGATGAGGTTAATCATAGAATTGATGAGGGAAAAAAGGTGAGTGGTGTGTTGAGGTATATGTGGAGTCAAAAAACGTTATCTATGGAGGCAAAGAAGGGAATGTATGAAAGTATAGTAGTACCAACACTCTTATATGGGTGTGAAGCTTGGCTGGTAAATGCAGCAGCGAGGAGACGGTTGGAGGCAGTGGAGATGTCCTGTCTAAGGGCAATGTGTGGTGTAAATATTATGCAGAAAATTCGGAGTGTGGAAATTAGGAAAAGGTGTGGAGTAAATAAAAGTATTAGTCAGAGGGCAGAAGAGGGGTTGTTGAGGTGGTTTGGTCATTTAGAGAGAATGGATCAAAGTAGAATGACATGGAAAGCATATAAATCTATATGGGAAGGAAGGCAAGGTAGGGGTCGTCCTCGAAAGGGTTGGAGAGAGGGGGTAAAGGAGGTTTTGTGGGCGAGGGGCTTGGACTTCCAGCAAGCGTGCGTGAGCATGTTAGATAGGAGTGAATGGAGACGAATGGTACTTGGGACCTGACAATCTGTTGGAGTGTGAGCAGGGTAATATTTAGTGAAGGGATTCAGGGAAACCGGTTATTTTCATATAGTCGAACTTGAGTTCTGGAAATGGGAAGTACAATGCCTGCACTTTAAAGGAGGGGTTTGGGATATTGGCAGTTTGGGGGGATATGTTGTGTATCTTTATACGTATATGCTTCTAAACTGTTGTATTCTGAGCACCTCTGCAAAAACATTGATAATGTGTGAGTGAGGCGAAAGTTCAGAATGATGTTGAAAGCATTTTCTTTTTTTGTGGATTTTCTTTCTTTTTTGGGTCACCCTGCCTCGGTGGGAGACGGCCGACTTGTTAAAAAAAAAAAAATTTACTTTTATACTTTTTTTTTTTTCAACAAGTCAGCCATCTCCCACCGAGGCAGGGTGACCCAAAAAAGAAAGAAAATCCACAAAAAGAAAAATACTTTCATCATCATTCAACACTTTCACCACACTCACACATTATCACTGTTTTTGCAGAGGTGCTCAGAATACAACAGTTTAGAAGCATATACGTATAAAGATACACAACGTATTCCTCCAAACTGCCACTTTTATATTTACACTTACCTTGGAGATGTTAGTGTAATTAGTTTGATGGAGGAGATGCCGGCAGAGGTTTAGGGTGGTGGAAGATAGCAGGCTGGCATTATGTTCATTGGCCCTATAAACATCCAACAACATTGGAGAGTTACTTTCGTGTCGTTTTTCTATCGCTTACTCACTTAACTTGCTACACTGTTAATTCTACACTTTATCGCTGGCTGGCACTATAGCCTTTATCGATACCTGCTGCTTTAGTATCATACATATCGTAGAATCACTGAATCACTGCAGAAGGCACATTCTCCCCTCTCTCTTCCTCCTCCACTTTGGTACTTTGCTACTGAGTTTTTTCTTGAATTCTATTGCGTTTCTTTCCTTCTTTACCACAGGGCTGGCACTAGAAGCTTTCTTTGGGCCCATGGTGGCTTATTTAGAAGTTACAAGGACTAAAAACAATGGAATAATACAAAATATGTCGCACGTACATGTGGAATTGTCCTCTCTGGCTTGTAAACAATGGCACACTGGCTGTACATAGGCTCAGGCCGCGCAGACACGTTCGGGACGAATGCCTTTAACTGAGTTCTTGGGCGTTAGCCGAGCCAATATTTTGACACAAAAACATGCCGCTATCTGATTTTGGCATTAGCCGATGCCACTGTTACCTGAGGGTCCACTGTAACTGATTTCAAAATGCTTTTTTTTTTTTAATGAAATATGAATAAAATTAAAAGAGTATGCCTGTGGTATACTACAATATCTCAACATGTATGTTATGTATGTGGTAAATAAATAATTGTGTATTTTACAGGGCAGATTTTTTGTTCTGTAGTGATTGGATTAGGGTTCAATTTCGCCAATGCTCCACTTTTCATTGAGTTCGCTGTGGAAAGTGCCTACCCCTGCCCAGAAGTCTATGTTGGTGGCCTTCTCACTGGTACCATGAACTTCATTGGACTGATATTCCTCTTCATCTTTCTTATTCCTGATTTAGGTAAGAATCAGAGCAAATTTTTTTATGGTGTGAATTATCATGCAGAAAATTTGGGGTGTTTAGATTAGCAGACAGAGTGGAATTACCAGAAGTATACTTCACAGATCTATGATGGTGTTAGAGAGTAAGCAAAGTAACACTTGTGAAGGGATTTGGGAAAACCAATTAGACTTAAGTCCTGGAGGTGGAATGTAGTGACTGCACTCTGAAGGAAGGATGAGGATATTGCAGTTCAGAGGGTCATCCAAAGTGTTGTCAGCACACTTCTCGAGGCCAGCACTTGAATAAGTGATATTGAATATTTTTTATTTTTTCACCCTGCCTTAGCAAGAGATGGCTGTTCAGATATATAATTCTTTATATTAATAGTTAATATAATTTAAGATTATTTGTAGGAAGTGATCAAACAAATAAATCTACCATGTCAACTGCTAATTTAGGGAAGGAAAAAAACTGGCTTGAAAAACTCGTGAGCTATAGGCTTACAGTTAAGAATTTTTTTAAAGTTCTCAGTATTGCTTACAATCACAGCATATGTTCTTTAATCCTTTCTTCCAACCTTTCCTAGGATGATCTCTATTCCACCTACCCTCCATTACAGAGTTATATACCATCCAAGTCATCCTTGTTTGTTCCATCCTCTTTAAATGTCTGAAGCACCTCAACTCCTCTTCAGCCCTCTAGATAATACTTTTAGTAACCCTGCAACGCCTAATCTCTAAACTAAGAAATCTTTGCATTATCACCACCACACATTGCCCTCAGACTCAACTTCACTTGTTCATAATTAACCATATATTTTTTCCATAGGCTATAAATGGGTGACCTATGTCCTCTTGAGCTCCAGTTCCCTGTCACTGATTCCTCTTTTGATTGTACGAGAAGAGTATTCACGATCAAACATTGATCGTAGTGTTGGCACTGATCTGCCAACAATACCTGGAGCAAGTGAAAAAGGTACTTTACATCAATTATCCATTCAGTAACTACAGATAGGCATATATGTATCACTGAGTCTGGGTGACCTAAGAAGAAAAACAAAAGTTTTTCTTTTCAAATTTAGTAATTTATACAGAAGTTGTTACTAGCCCTCTGCTCCCGCATCTTAGTCACCTCCTATGGCACACATGGCTTACGGAGGAATTCTTTTTTTCGCTTCCCCATGGAGATATGTATATAGTCATACCTCGTTTTGTCATTTCGACATGCGTCAAATTCACCTTTATGCCACTTTTCTAGGGTAAATTTCAGTTCGGCAAACGTCATTACGTCCGACTTTGTCACTCAGCAACATCACCTACATCAGTTTTTTTAATTGTTCATTATTAATTAAAAAATATGACTAAAATTTGGTTATGTCATGGCTTTTGGAACCAGTTAATGAAATAGGGCAGGGTATGACTGTAAAAATATCATATTTGATAAGTTTTCAAAATATTTCTAGCCTGAATCACATTAGAAAAATGTAGAATAGTATGAAAAGCCTATAAACTGCATTGTTAGTGCAGAAATACGAAGTCCCTGTTTTGGTAAATGTAATTTTACACACGCAAGGTTATTTGGGTATCATTGCAGTTATGGTATGTTTTATTCTAAATGTCATTTAATTAGCAAAGCTGTTGTGACCCATATGGGTTTAGTGCTTTTTCAACATTCAGCAAGAATATTAATGTTTTTTTTTTTTTTACCTCAAATTTTAGTTTTAAAAAACTAAAATTTTTTGTAATTTCCAAGGTATATAACAGTTGCTTGTTAGTGATATTTGCTCTTTCTTAAAAATTTCCATTACAAGAAAAAGCTAAATAAACCCATACGCTCATTCATCCCTTCAAGGGAAGCATTACTGAGATACCAGTAAAAGTCTGTTCAAACCTAATTACCTCCCATTCACCAGGTACTGTGATCCTAACAGATTCTTTCCATGAATGTAATATTACTGTTTTTTAACTTTAGATGATTCACAAAAAGTAAGCTATTGATAGTTTTGTTTCCAGTCACAAGCAGCTATGTAGGCATAAAAAGTGTAATTTTTATTGATTCTGCCATTTACAAATCCCAACCAAGGTTATGAATACTAACAATTTTTATTTTTAGATTTTTACTAGTGTTTGTACATACAGTGCAAGAAAAGTATAATTTCTATGTGGTACAGTATTTACAGTGAAATCTGTAAGCTTCATATTTTTTCTTAAGGTTTGCAGTTACACTAACCAGGGCAAATCAGAGTTCTTCGTAGTGTTACGTGTACATCTTGGCTTTTTACTCAATTCATGATTTAAATTTTATTGCTTTCATTTGTCACATTCCGTACACACTCATTGTTCTACATTACACTGATGGCATAACTATATCCCTTTTATTATTCTGTCCTTGGCCATGCCTCCTAAGATTAGGAATAGCAGAGGTGAATAGTGTCATAAGGAGTAGATATTCAGTTGACTGAAACTTTTATATTTCCTCAAACATGTTTGTGGCAGCTTTGCCTCAGTGGCAAGGAGGTAAATAAGAGCCATGTATAACACTTGGGTATTTTTAATGTGGAGATGTTTCACCAATACAGAGGACAATACTGAAGATAGTGGAAGACACAAAAGTGGTAATTAGAAGTGATCAGTCCCTCAGCCTTGAAATGAGGTGATCAGTTGTGCAGTTTTGACGAATCTAAGGTATACACCCGAGGATGGACAATTGTATACCGAGGACAGGAGAGGTGAAGGTACCACAGGTGGTCCGAGCTCACTAGCAGTAGATTAGGCAAGCATAGATTTGTAGACCTCTGTACCAAGATTCCAAGAGGCTGCTGTGTCATGTATATATATTAATGATTTACAAAACTAGCAAGTAGATAAACCATTAATGTATAATATTTGTCTGACACAACAGCATCTTTGTACAAAGAATATTCCTGCAACTCTATACACTTGCTTAACCTGTTTGCATGACCTACTTCCACTAGTGGGCTCTGCCCATCTGTGATGCCATCTTCACCTCCTGTCTTCAGTATGCCAGTGTTCATCCTAGGTCATCTAGATTCATCAGGACTGCTGGACTGAATGCCTTCTTTCAAGGCATTCAGTCCAACAGTCTTTCATCTCCAGTACTGTGCTCTGAAATGGATTGATAATCCACTGGCTGGCAAAACTTCTCTGCTTATTGCAGAAAAGTTTTCTTTGTACAAAGATTCCAAGATGCTGTGTCAAATATTAATGGTTTATCCCAAGTGTTTCACATCAATCATCTACTTGTTGGGCAAGGCACTGTTTTGTTAATGAATGAACTCTGTAGCATATTCTGGAGAAAAGATAAGGAACAGTGTTCATTAACTATTGTGATTGACGTGCTTTACTGTGTGGCTTCAGCACTTTTAGTAATAATACTATATAGGCCCATACTAAATTAAACAGCAAAATGTATGAATGATGTTCAGTATACACCAAGTAGGAAAGACAGTAATACAAAACCTTTTGCTGGAAGCAAGAGTTAATTTGAAATGTTCAAAGAGGTGTAGATTTCACAATTGTGGAATAGTCCACATCAGCAGATGTAATTTTAAGAAATCACACGAGATGGGGATTATTTACTAGAGGTATAATGCCAACAAAGTACCCTTGTTCTGGGAAAGAATATCAGAATGAAGTTTCTTAAAACAAAAATCTGCTCCTGTCTTGAGGGCAGGCTAGCTGATTAAAGAAAAAAAAATTCTGCATGTCCAGGAGGAAAGCATGGGTTAGCAAATACTTTTTCGGGGAAGATTTTTAACGACTGCTTTGTACCTGGAGTTTCTCAAATCTGAGAAGGTACCTGTTAAAATTCTACTCTAGTTATTTGTACTCCTACATAAATTTTTTTTTACCTCTCCAGTCAATCTCCATGCAAGAACCTCTAGATCAAGGCATGATAGCTGCCTTTAATATAACACGCACCTGCATTTTGAGAAGAAATGAAAGTGAAACATTATTTTACACAGAATATACAAAATGTCAAGAATGCAATTGATGAAGTCAGAGAGACGACTGTAAATAGTTACTAGAACTTGAATAGTACTGGTGAATAATTTCAGCAACTACCCCAATATTTAAGTTGAAATGGGCAAGATTTTAGGTCTTGACATATCTCAGAGAGTAAGGTTTTGAAGATAAGCAAAAGGAAGAGGTGGAGCAACTGCTTACTCCACATGACAACAGCTGATGAACAAGAAAGATGCTAGAAGTTGTGGCTGTTAAAAAATTAGTCATTATGGATGTTCAAGAGTAATTTTGCAAATTCTCCCATTATTGTAGGTACCTCAGTAATATAATCCCTACAAATGAAGTTTCAATTAAGAACTAATGAAAAGTACTTGAAGACTTGATTAAAAATAAGTAAACCAAAGAGCAACAACTTTAAAGTATCATTGTGAATGGTACACATTTGCCATGGGTAAATATAAATGATGATAACCTTGTACCTTTATACATTTAGACAAATCTGAATTTACCCGTATACAGATACTATACTATAGCATACTAAACTGGTAACATACGATGTTTTGGTAGGTTTGCTCTTAGTGGACCTTCTCAAAATATTCTCGGGAACCAGCTGGGTCAGGCTTGATTGTTGGTGACTCTGGTTGCCAATTGGCTGGGCAAACTGTAAAGCAATATTGTAATTAACTACCATATGTAATGTAGAGAGATGTTATCTATATAACACAACCCTTTCAGTGCTGAGACCCCTGCTCTTAAACTTGCCCCCAGGGTCAAAGAATTAAAAAAAAAAAAAAAAAAAAAAAAAGATAATTTTTTCCAAAAGTAATGAAACCAAAAGTAGGAAATTTGAAGGAAAACTTTCAGAATTATGCTCTTGCAAAGTTATCAGTCTCGGCAATTTCACTTACTTGACGCTCTGTTTTTGGCCAGTTCCATTAGAGTTGACCAAACTCATAGCTATTTTGCTAGTATTCTTACTATTCTGTTGAATGAGAACAAGAAACTGCCCATTTACCTATTTCAACTACCCAATAAAATCATCAGAAATCAGTAATTTGGTCAATTTCAACAATTGCCACTTTGAAAATAGGGTCCAGAATAAACAATGTAGACATTCCTGGTACTTAAAACATTTCCTCTGTTCCTCAGTCACATCTCCAGCCCCTCTTATATTATGCTTACTTTTCATTTTGAATTCTTATTCACACAAAAAAAAAAAAAACAGAAAATTTACTTTTATGCAGACTAATGCATTATTATAATACATAATGGTATAAATAATGTCAGTGCATTCCTAATTGCATATTATATTAGCCAGTTGGTGGTATATTGGACAAGTGATGTCATTTGTGTACTCTGGAATATCGGCAAAAAATCGAACATTTCTGCTACTTTCAGCCCGGAAACTAATCAAAATCATCTTTATTTCTGTAATATATCTTCCATTCTATCAAATGAAACCAAGAAAATGAGAATACAACCATAAAAAAAAAAACATACAAAAAATGCACCACAAAGTCACTGTTTTGAATCAAAAACGTGGTTGCATTTTTTTTTCTCATGCACTGCATATTACAGGATTTTTTTTTATATGGTGCACACTTACCACAGACCCAGTCTCTCATATGTAGGCCCAAATTTACCGCTCACAGCTCATGAGTGAACTGAGCTCATGGTGTCATACTACAGGACGAACACTAGCTTCAAAGCTGTGATACAATGGAATTGACAGTGAAAGGGTTAAGTCACCACTTCTGACCTACACAAAGCTTCACCTTCATCTAATGAACATTTCACAAATATAACTTACAAACATTAGTGTTTCTATTTGATTATAATAACTTACACACTGGGAATATAAACCAGACAAGGTGCCTCCAGGATCATTATGAAGTTGTGACTTACACCTTTATATTTCTTCTGCATGCCCTTTCACATTTAATCTTATTACTGGGCTTCTACTTATAAAAGAACAGTAATCTATGCCAAATCATTTAACAGTGAAAGTACAATATCAGAATAGTCTGGTAAAAGGTATGTAAAAAATCAATACTTTCAGAAGTGTAATTAATAAAAAATTGTTTCTACTATGATAACTATGATTTATAAATTATTTAATCCTCTAGAAATTCTTAGTTCAAAGGGGCTGCCTAGACCAAAGAACTCATGAATTACTTTCCAATTCCTTAAATCAAACTTGATTACTTACCCTTGCCAAGGCACCACGAGTTTAACACTACCCCTTGATAATAATATTCTTAAATGAAAAAAATAAAAAAGAAAGAAAAACAGTCATGTCTCACCTTCCCCATGTTCAGCAACAAACTGGAATGCCTTGAGAAGTCTGAGCGTTTCCTCAACCGAGCGGCCAACAGGAAGATCGTTGATACTCATGTGCCTGACTATACCTTCAGGGTCAATCAAAAACAGGCCACGGAGTGCAACACCTTCATCCTCGAGCAAAACTCCATAATCACGTGAAATATTTTTGTTAAAATCAGAAAGAAGTGGATATTTGAGGCCTCCTAGTCCACCTTGCTGTTAAAGAGAGAGAGAAAAGAACAATTAAAGTGATGTTGAGAGAGATTTACTTTATTGTCAAGTCTGGTAAAGAGGTAGCATTCATACCTCACTACATTTTTCAAGAGGGGTTCCTTGATGTAGGGGAAGGGCTCTTGATCCAAGGAACTGGAGCTACCTTTCCATCCTTAGATCAAACCCAGATGCTGTACGACCTTTTCTGGTTTAGCGCTTCACATGACTATAGTAATAGCATCCTACATTCCTAGTAATCACCCAAAAGAAAAAACTACAATTTTTTTTTTTTTTTTTTTTTGGGTACTCCTGCCTGTGTGTGAGATGACCAGTATGTTGAAAAAATCCTATTAATACATCAATTTCACACTACCAAGAAAGTAACAACGAAGAAGAATAAAGTGGGTACAACCCAGTGCCCACTGAGTCTGCAACATTCCTTACCACTAAGTTAGGCACTAAAAAAGTCAAAACTATAAACTCACTTAATTCTCTGAATTTTTATTGTAAATAAAATGGTTACCCAAATATAAACTACACTTTGTAATAACTATAAATACATTAGAATTACAATAAAGCCATACAGGCATTATAGTGCAATAAATGGATTATTTAACAGCGCTGTGTGACCCCAGTGAGTTTAGCGCTTAGTTTTGATAATAATAAAAATGGAGATTTATGAACTACCTTTCTTATACCGTATAAAAGAAAATGACCTACAAGTACTTATATTCAGCAACATTATAATCATGGTAAAGTGCTAAATGTATGAGTCATACAGTGACTGGAGAATGGAAGCAATAAGGATTAATCAGGTTTGACTCAAGGAAAGTGAAGGGTAACTAATTCCTTTGATCAACAGCCCTTCACTAGCATCAAGACATCCACTCCAAAGTCTTTTTCACATTCTGTATGATTAAGCTCTACATTACCTAGTTTATAACTATGACAGTTATTTTCATTCCCAAGGACTAGGGCTTTGCATGTGTCCACATTGAACTGCATCTTCCACTTTTCAGATCATGACTAATTTGTCTAAATATTCCCCTTGGAGGGTTTTACAATCAGCAGACAGAGCCAGTGCCTGACACTGGCACAAGCTAAGAAACAGTTTAGAACATCAGTGTTTTAACTATAGAATATGACTGTGTTTGTTATTCCTTCCAACTTCATAGACATATATGTCATTGTCGTCTTCTTTCAACAAACCGGCCGTATCCCACCGAAGCAGGGTGACCCAAAAAGAAAAACAAAAGTTTCTTTCTTTAACTTTAGTAATGTATACAGGAGAAGAGGTTACTAGCCCCTTGCTCCCGGCATTTTAGTCACCTCTTATGACATGCATGGCTTGAGGAAGAATTCTATTCCACTTATCCATGGAGATAAGAGGAAATAAACAAGAACTAGTAAGAAAATAGAAGAAAACCCAGAGAAGCGTGTATATATATGCTTGTACATGCATGTGTAGTGTGACCGAAGTGTAAGTAGTAGTAGTAAGACGTACCAGAAATCTTGCATATTTACGAGACAGAAAAAAAAGACGCCAGCAATCCTACCATTACGTAAAACAATTACAGGCTTTCGTTTTACATTCACTCGGCAGGACAGTAGTACCTCCCTGGGCAGTTGCTACCAACCTACTACCTAGGAGACATGTATTAATAAATAAATTAATTTTGTAATATAGTTTCCTTTATGCCTGTGAAGGATGCCTGATGCTTGAAACTGTCCTCACATTTCCTGGACAGCAGTTTATTTCCTCTCATTCCTGGGTGCTGTATGACCCTTCTGGGTTTCATGCTTCACCATAAACACACTAGGTTAGGTTAGGTAAGGTTCGTCAGGAAACAGGACAAATGTTTCCTGACGCGGGTCTTAGTCAGATGATGACCCGCCTTTGGAGCTTTTGGTCATCTGACCGAGGCCTTCCGCTGGCTTACCGGTCCACCCCTTTAAAAATTATGGTCATTTATAACATAAACACACTATAATAACAATACTAACATGGAAGATAACTTAAAATATTTTTGTATGGGAGCCTCTTAACTCGCATAGCTTAGATTCTCAACCTATCAAAATCAATCTCTGTATAAAGCATACACATTCTGCAAGAGAGAATTTAGGATAAATAACAATACTTTTCCTAATACCAACCTTTCTTGGCATATTATCCCATGCCAGGTGAGAGAAGTGGGAGTCTGTGGAAACACCTATAATCTCACAGTTGAGAGAGGTGAATGATTTAACATGCTCACTGAAAGCAATCAGCTCAGTTGGACAGACAAATGTGCTGAAATGTATTGGCTAAGTTAGTCATTTATAGACATAGTGAATGGTGAGTAGGTGACAAACTAAGAATGCAGAACACCCATAGCAGAACAAGCTTTTTAATTTTATAACAATCTCCTAAATGGGGCAGCATATCTATACAAGTCTGCTACAAGTGTTTTCCTATCTAGTGACATCAAATGCTAAATATTTATTTGTCTTGAAGACAGTCTAAATTAATCTTTTTTTAATTAAATTAATTTCTGAAAGAGAAAAACTAATGAATGAAATGTTAAATAGAAACTAAAAGTCTATGTTGTACTTTCTTACTGAAGCAAAATTCTTTTAAAGGTATCACACAAATATACAGTAAAGTTCAGAAAACCGAAGTTTTTTCGTGGAGTGTGGAGTGTCAGTCATCTCTACATAACTCCAATGCTGCCACATGGCGGTGTGACCCAGCACTAACAGCCAGAGTGGTAGGCGTCAGTTGTGTCTCAGTGCTTGTAGTGTTCACACGTGCATCTGCTGTTCGCTGATATTTTATTTTTGCAGTATACTCAAGATGGGGTCAGGAAAGATATTTTGAAAAGTCCATAGTATGCACAGCATTTTGGCAGTTTTAAGCAGGACTAAAATACTCCTTAAAACTAGCACATTATGGAATAAGTGGCCATGAACTCTCTTACTTAAAATCTTACCTCAATGACATACACCAACATGAGTATAAATGACTACTATATCGACTCAACCCATCAACATTGAGGTGCTGCAGGACAGTGTCTTACAACTTCAATTTCTTCTTTACATCAATAACCTACGAAACACATCTTGAAAACTTTAACCAGTTTTATTTGTAGAAGACACTCCATCATTACCAATTCATATCTAGCTGACCTCAACAACAATGTTGTATTTTATAACGTGAGGAATATAGCTAATTTTTTTTAACACACTGGCCATCTCCCACAAAGGTAGGGAGACCTGAAAAAGGAAAATTTTCACCATCATTCACACTATTACTGCCTTGTCAGAGGTGTAAAGATGTGCAGATAAGACAGTTCAGATGTCCTGCCAAACAGCAAATACCCCCACCCCTCCTTTAGAGTGCAGGCACTGTACTTCCCATCTCCAGGACTTAAACATAAATGATAAATAATGGACACATTGAAAGACAAGATGACAGCAAACTTAAATAAAACAAACACACTCAGCACACAATCTAAGAAAGTTTCCAAAACAGTGGACATTTGACCAAGCTACTGCACTGTGACCAACACTCCTTACTCTGTATCTGCCATCACAATCATTTCCCAACAAAAATCTGCCATTAAAATGATCACTCAATATGGTTCCAGACAACACCCCTCTCCTCCCCAACAATTCAAAGATTCGAACCTACTTAATTGGTCCCTTTTAATGTACAAAACACACACACACTACTGTGTGTACTACATATGTATAAAACTCAAAACAAATATTAACCCTGAGCTCCAACATAGGCATAACACTAGAAATAAATCTCTCAAGATATTCCCCATGTACAACTCGACTTGAATACACTCCATGGAAATTGAGGGGCCAAAAATTGGAAATTTACCTCAATGATACAAAAACTTCTCAAAATAATAACAATAATAATAATTGATTTTAGTAGGTTGGTAGACAGCAACCACCCAGGAAAGTACTACCGTCCTTCCAAGTGAGTGTAAAACAAAAACCTGCAATTGTTTTACATGATGGTAGGATTGCTGGTGTCTATTTTTCTGTCTCATAAACATGCAAGGTTTCAGGTACGTCTTGCTACTTCTACTTACACTTAGGTCACATTACACATACATGTACAAGCATATACTATATACACACCCATCTAGGTTTTCTTCTATTTCTTACTAGTTCTTGTTCTTGTTTATTTCCTCTTATCTCCATGGGGAAGTGGAACAGAATTCTTCCTCTGTAAGCTATGTGTGTTGTAAGAGGCGACTAAAAGGCCAGGAGCAAGGGGCTAGTAACCCTTTCTCTTGTATAAATTACTAAATTTAAAAAGAGAAACTTTCGTTTTTCTTTTTGGGCCACCCTGTCTCGGTGGGATACGGCCGGTTTGTTGAAAGAAAGAATAATAATAATAATTGCTTTTAGTAGGTTGGTAGACAGCAACCACCCAGGAAAGTACATACTATTGTCCTGCCAAGTGAGTGTAAAACAAAAGCCTGTAATTGTTTTACATGATGGTAGGATTGCTGGTGTCTTTTTTTCTGTCTCATAAACATGCAAGAATTCAGGTACATCTTCTTACTTCTACTTACACTTAGGTCACACTACACATTCATATACACATTTATGTATACACACTTATCTGAGTTTTCTTTAATTTCATCTTAATAGTTCTTGTTCTTATTGTTTTTCCTTTTATATCCATGGGGAAATAAGAATCGAACAATGGGCTAGTAACCCCTTTTCCCGTATAGCCTAATAAAAAGAAAAAGAAGAAAACCATCAAAGTGGGATGTCTGAATGTGTGTGGATGTTGTGTGAATGATAAGAAAGAGATGACTGTGGATGTTATGAATGAGAAGAAGCTGGATGTCCTGGCTTTAAGTGAAACAAAGCTGAAGGGAGTGGGAGAGTTTCAGTGGGGATAAATAAATGGATTAGGTCAGGGGTTTCAAATAGAGTTAGAGCTAAAGAAGGAGTAGCAAAAATGTTGAAAGATAAGTTATGGCAGGAAAAGAGGGAATATAAGTGTATTAATTCAATGATTATGTGGAGTAAAATAAGGGTTGGGTGTAAAAAGTGGGTTATAGTAAGCATTTATGCACCTGGAGAAGAGAGAAGTGTAGAGAGAGAGAGAGATTGATTTTGGGAAATGTCGAGTGAGTGCATGGGAAGTACTGAACCAAGTGTGAGAGTACTTGTGGTTGGGGATTTCAATGCTAAAGTGGGTACAAATGTTGTGGAGGTAGTAGGAGGTAAATTTGGGGTGCCAGGGGTAAATGAAAATGGGAAGCCTTTAATTGAGCTATGTGTAGAAATAGGTTTGGTAATAAGTAATACATATATTATGAAAAAGGATAAATAAGTATACAAGGTATGATATAGCACATAATGAAAGTAGTTTGTTAGATTATGTATTGGTGGATAAAAGGTTGATGGGTAGGCTTCAGGATGTACATGTTTACAGAGGGGCAACTGATATATGGATCATTATTTGATTGTAGCTACAGTTAGAGTATGAGGTAGATGGGACAAAAGGAAAATGGCAACAAGAAGTAAGAGAAAGGTGAAAGTGCATAAACTAAGGGAGGAGGAGTTAGGGTGAGATATAAGCAACTATTGGCAGAAAGGTGGGCTAGTGCAAGTATTAGTGGGGGAAGGGTCGAAGAGGGTTGGATTAGTTTTAAAAATACAGTATTAGAATGTAGGGCAGAAGTTTGTGGCTATACGAGGATGGGTACAGGAGGAAAGAGGAATGATTGGTGGAATGATGAAGTAAAAGTTGTGATAAAAGAGAAAAAGGTAGCTTATGAGAGGTTTTTACAAAGCAGAAGTGTTATAAGAAGAGCAGAGTATATGGAGAGTAAAAGAATGGTAAAGATAGTGGTGAGAGAGTGCAAAAGGAGAGCAGATGATAGAGTGGGAGAGGCACTGTCAAGAAATTTTGATGAAAGTAAGAAAAAATTTTGGAGGGAGATAAACAAGTTAAGAAACCCTAGTGAATGAATGGATTTGTCAGTTAAAAACAGAGTAGGGGAGTTAGTAGATGGGGAGCTGGAGGTATTGGGTAGATGGTGGGAATATTTTGAGGAACTTTTAAATGTCGATGAAGAAGGGAGTCGGTAATTTCGTGTACTGGCCAGAGAGGTATAGCATCTTTTAGGAGTGAAGAAGAGCAGGATGCGAGTGTGGGGGAGGTGCACGAGGCATTACATAGAATGAAAGGGGGTAAAGCAGGTGGAACTGACAGGATCATGACAGAAATATTAGAAGCAGGGGGATATATAGTATTGAAGTGGTTGGTATTTTTGTTTAATAAATGTATGAAAGCAGGGAAGGTACCTAGGGATTGGCAGAGAGCATGTATAGTTCCTTTATATAAAGGGGAGGGGGACAAAAGACACTGTAAAAATTATAGGGGAATAAGTTTACCGAGTATACCAGGAAAAGTGTACGGTAGGATTGTTATTGAAAGAATTAGAGGTAGGATTGAGGATAAGCAAGGAGGCTTTAGAGTGGGTAGGGGATGTGTAAATCAAGTGCTTACATTGAAGCATATAAGTGAACAGTATTTAGATAAAGGTAGGGAAGTTTTCATTGCATTTACAGATTTAGAAAAGGTATATGATAGAGTAGATAGGGGAGCAATGTGGCAGATGTTGCAAGTATAAATAGGTAGTAAGTTACTAAATGCTGTAAAGTTTTTATGAGGATAGTGAGGCTCAGGTTAGGGCATGTACAAGAGAGGGAGATTACTTCTTGGTAAAAGTAGGTCTTAGACAGGGATGTGTAATGTCACCATGGTTGTTCAATATATTTATAGATGGGGTTGTAAAAGATGTAAATGCTAGGGTGTTGGGGAGAGGGGTGGGGTTAAATTATAGGGAATCAAATACAAAATGGGAGTTGATACAGTTACTTTTTGCTGATGATACAGTGCTTATGGGAGATTTTAAAGAAAAGTTGCAAAGGTTAGTGAATGAGTTTGGGAGGGTGTGTAAAGATAGAAAGTTGAAAATGAACATAGATAAGAGTAAGGTGATGAGGGTATCAAATGATTTAGATAAAGAAAAATTGGATATCACATTGGAGAAAGGGAGTACGGAAGAAGTGAATGTTTTTAGATATTTGGGAGTTGACGTGTCAGCAGATGGGTTTATGAAGGATGAGGTTAACCACAGAATTGATGAAGGAAAAAATGCGAGTGGTGCGTTGAGGTATGTGTAGACACAAAATGTTATCTATGAAGGCAAAGAAGGGAATGTATGAAAGTATAGTGGTACCAACACTCTTATATGGGTGTAAAGCTTGGGTTGAAAATGCTGCATCGAGGAGGTGGTTGGAGGCAGAGGAGATGTCCTGTCTAAGGCCAATGTGTGGTGTAAATATTATGCAGAAAATTCAGAGTGTAGAAATTTGGAGAAGGTGTGGAGTTAATAAAAGTATTAGTCAGAGGGCAGAAGAGGGGTTGCTGAGGTGGTTTGGTCATTTAGAGAGAATGGATCAAAGTAGAATGATATGGAGAGCATTTCAATCTGTAGGGAAAGGAAGGCAGGGTAAGGGTCATCCTTGAAAAGGTTGGAGGGAGAGGGTAAGGAAGGTTTTGTGGGTGAGGGGCCTGGACTTCCAGCAAGCAAGCCTGAGTGTGTTAGATAGGAGTGAATGGAGACGAATGGCTTTATGGACCTGACGAGCTGTTGGAGTGTGAGCAGGGTAATATTTAGTGAAGGGATTCAGGGAAACCGGTTATTTTTATATAGCCAGACTTAAGTACTGGAAATGGGAAGTACAATGCTTGCATTTTAAAGGAGGGGCTTGGGATATTGGCAGTTTGGAAGGATATGTTATATATCTTTATATATGCTTCTAAACTGTTGTATCTGGACACCTCTGCAAAAACAGTGATTATGTATGAGTGAGATGAAAGTGTTGAATGATGAAAGTATTTTCTTTTTGGGGATTTTCTTTCTTTTTGGGTCACCCTGCCTTGGTGGGAGAAGGCCGACTTGTTGAAAAAAAAAATAATAATTATTATTGTTGTAAAAAACTGGTCCTCTCCCACCAAGTGTAGACAGCCTGTACTGTCTACCAGCTTAGTTCATATTTCGCACCACTCAGGTGCTGCCCTCTGGGCCTGTCCAAGGGTGACCCAAAAAAGAAACACTCCATCACTGTCTTCCCCAGAGACGTGCCGATACTACAATTCAGATGCGGCTCTAAAATGAGAATATCCCCAACCCTCCCCACAGTGCAGGCACTGTACTTCACACCTCCAGAACTTGAGTCCAGCTGTCCAATTTTCCTGAATCCCTTCAAAAAATGTGGCCAGATCTGTAAGGGTTCTAAATTGCTGGAAGGGTGGAGAAGTATCAACATAAGGTAGTTGAAAGGGTAAATTTATGAGCAAAGAAGAGGGTTATGTGTATTCTTCTGACAACTATTCAAACCATGAGACCTTTCAGCTACAGACTGCACTAATCACTAAACCAATTCACTTTGTTAGTGAAACCTCTTTCATGTTCTCAATCTCTGATTCCAAGAGACCAATCTAGTTAATAAAATCATCTTAAAAGAAAAACTTGATGTTGCAACAAGCTCCTATTAAATATTGAAAAGAACACAGTACTACAAAATATGCAAGATAAAATTATCCAACCTACTACAGAAGATCTCTAAATATAAAATAATGAAGCTGATACTAAGTGGCAGTTGTCCAGTTTCTCTGTGCCAATGACACTTTTGGGGATTCTGAAGAGAAGATGCACAGGTTGGTAAAGGAATTTGGGAAGGTGTATAAAAGTGAACACAGAAGAATGTTAAATGATGGAGAGCAAGAAAGAGTCTAGGCAATGAAAGACTGAATATCAGACTGGAAGGAGTATGGAAGAAGTGACTGTATTCAGATTTTTGAGAGTGGATGTGTTGGCAGATGGGTCTATGAAAGAAATAGTGAATCAGAACAGACAAGGAGAGAGAAAAAAACATAGGTGGTGCATTAAGGCATCTGTGGAAAGGAAGTTCATTTATGGAGGCAATAAGGAAAATGTACCATAGTAGTGGCACCAACACTTTTATGGGGGCAAGACATGGGCGGCTTCAAACTTCACAGCAAGAAGGCGGCTAGAGGCAGAGGAAATGTCACGTATGAGATCATTTGGTGTTAAGAATAAACAGAATTCACAGCACAGAAATTAGAGATGGTGTAGGTTTACCAAAGGTAAAATCTAGAAGGCTGAGGAGGGTTGCTGAGGTGGCTGAGCATTTAGAAAGGATGGAGCCGAATAGGATAATAAAGAGGGTATATAGATCTGAGGTGGAAGGAAGGAGGGGTAGGGGTCATTCCAGCAAGGGTTGGAGAGAGGACAAAAGTTTTGAGTGCTAGGAGCTCAAGCATCCAGCACACTTGTGTAAGCATGTTAGATCATTACATGTGGAGACAAGTGGTTTTTATGGGTTGGTGTACTGTTGGGAGTGTGAGAGATGTAACATTTTCAAACAGATTCAGGGAAAACAGGTTAGACAAACTTGAGTCCTGAAGGTGGGAAGTACAGTGCCTGCTCTCAGAAGGAAGGATACACAGTACTTTACCACTGACTTTTTCAAGAGTTTTCCTATTCCTACAGTCCATCCTGGCCAGGCTTTCTGGTGCTTGCTAGTAGAGGATGCTGCAGTTTGGAAGATCATTTGTATTGTGATGTCTGCACACTTCTGGCAAGATAGCTAGTAAATGAATGAAGGTAAATATTTGAGTTTCCTCTGTACCTTTCATTGCTTATGGCTTGTTAATTTAAGTTAATTTTAAGCCTGCCCATAATGCTCTGCATACAAGGGGCTTTTGGCATGTACATCCAACTACTATAATTCCTTGTACAACTATGTATCATGTCCAAATAAACTACATGAATATGAATCACCCTACCTCGGTGGGAGACTACTGGCATTTAATTGAAAAATAAATAATTCCTAGGCATTCATACTGACCGTCAACTTTAACATCCACTATAAGTACTGCATACTTTCCATAATCTATTATTTACCTAGGTACACAGTGATCAGCTCCTACCTTACAAGCTCTATGTTTGGGATCAACAAGCAGCAATTATATATCTCTGAGAAACATTACACAAAGATCTGCAACCAGAACTGTACTAAGAAGAGGCACCCAGTGTCTCCATGGGAATTATCAGGTCATGCTGACAGTCTAATATCTTGTGATCAACTGCCCCAGTCATCAGAAACCACAGAGATGTTATTTCCAACCTTTTCTTAAGTGCACTGACATAACTCATTTGCCCTCTCCTCTGACATTTCCAACTTCAATGCAGATTGTCTATACTGCATTTTAACTAAAAATGAATTTACAGAAATGACCAATTTCCTCCTGTTGTCATTATGATCATTCTTAATACTGTACACTATTTCTAATAACAGTATACAGTATACTGTGAATATCAAAATGGTATACAATACCAAAAGGTTGGTAAGACACATAGGCAACAGTCAGGCATATTTATTCCGAAACGTTTCACCTACACAGCAGACTTCTTCAGTTGAGTACAGAAAGTAGGCAGGAGCAGTAGACAATTACATCGTGTTCACATCTCTACTGCTCCTGCCTACTTACTGTACTCGATTGAAGAAGCCTACTGTGTAGGCGAAACGTTTCGGAATAAAGATGCCTGACTGTTGCCTATGTGTCTTACTTACGGTATACTGTACACTATTCCTAATAACAGGACAGTACATCAATTAAAGTCACTAACAAATCCAGAGGGTAGAAGAAAAGCACTAGGTATTTCCCTCGGTAATCCTGGAGGGAGATCTCCTTAAACTGTCCCTGGAACACTGCTTGACCCTTGAAGCTGGGTGCAGGCTGGGTCACAGCAACACCCAAACACCGTGAGGTAGTGGAAAAATAGCGCTGCATTCCCACTTGGGACAGCATGCTGCGTGTAGTCTGGGGGAAAAAAAATGCCGTAATTAGTCATATTGCATAAACCTATAACTAGAATATCCTGTTTCATTACTTGAAAATTAGCTATTAAATATATACGTAATTCTGAATAAAATATCATCAAGTAGCCAATGAGCAATGGTTAGTGTGTTAAATGTTAAATATACATTCAGGACTTTTCTAACAAATTATGAGCAGTAATATAATCTGTAACTACAGTGGACCCCCGGTTAACGATATTTTTTCACTCCAGAAGTATGTTCAGGTGCCAGTACTGACCGAATTTGTTCCCATAAGAAATATTGTGAAGTAGATTAGTCCATTTCAGACCCCCAAACATATACGTACAAACGCACTTACATAAATACACTTACATAATTGGTCACATTCGGAGGTAATCGTTATGCGGGGGTCCACTGTATTATATGTATTACAACTGAAGCCACATTTTTGGGGGGCAACTATTCTAATGAGGAATACTAACTTTCTTTAGATTATTAACTCAATAAACCTTTTATCACATGGCAAAATCATACAGGTAATGACTGATAACTTCATGGGTAATATGATATTTGAAATCTCGAGCATATATCCAGACTGAAGAACATACGAAAGAAGAAGCACTGCAGCAGGCCTACTGACCCATGCGAGGCAAGTCCAACTTACAACCACTCGTGTATTTAATCTATTTTTAAAACTACACAATGCTTTATGTCCAACTTACAACCACTCGTGTATTTAACCTATTTTTAAAACTAACAATGCTTTATCTTCAATGACGGTACTTGGGAGTTTGTTCCACTCATCCACTAGTTTAACTGCATCAACTTGTTTAACTACTACAGTACAGTACAGTGGACCCCCGCATAACGATTACCTCCGAATGTGACCAATTATGTAAGTGTATTTATGTAAGTGCGTTTGTACGTGTATGTTTGGGGGTCTGAAATGGACTAATCTACTTCACAATATTTCTTATGGGAACAAATTCAGTCAGTACTGGCACCTGAACATACTTCTGGAGTGAAAAAATATCGTTAACCGGGGGTCCACTGTATATGATGAGAATGTAATTAAGAAATAAGCTTTGTTTGGACTTTTAACCCGGAGGGTTAGCCACTCAGGATAACCCAAGAAAGGCAGTGTGTCATTAAGGGCTGTCTGTCTTATTTCCATTGAGGCCCTTCAATCTTGTCCCCCATATGTGACCCACACCAGTTGACTAACACCTAGGTACCTATTTACTGCTGGGTGAAGAGGAACAGCAGGTTTAAGAAAACATGCCCAATGTTTCTAACTATGATTTTAGTGTTAAGTAAAAGCACACAATTGCAACTAATGTGACACTTTATTGTGGCAAAGTTTCACTCTCCAGGAGCTTTGTCAAGCTGTTACAAACAATACATGGACACAAAGAGGGTATGTATAGGTTTTGAGTGAGGTGTGTACTGGTGGAGGTAGTAGTAGCAGTAGTAGTGATACATGTGGTTATAAAAGCTATGGCTTGGGTAACATAAAAATAGGTTAGGCAAATGTATATGAGAAGGCCTGTCACGTTAGTTACACTTGTGTCCTTTTACTTAACATATTGCCAGTAATTCTACCAATATTAATATGATTTCAGTGTTAATGATCTGGCACTGTGCAATCATCACAATATAATATGAATATAATACAGTAATAATAATTAATATTTGAAAGTTTAAGATTGGATTTATATTCACTACTACAGAATGCATATAATGTGACCGTAATACATAAAATGATTGTTATATCTACAAGATATAACGAGAATGAAGGTACACTGCGGTACACTGTTGACCCATGCTAGGCAGGTCCAACTCTCACCCACTCAGGTACCTGTCTAAAGATAAAGAGAAGATAAAGATTTTATTTCTTTGTAAAGGTTACAACGTGTAATTACAATTCTGGTTTGCTAAGTACAAAGAAAGCCACTATTATGCCAGGGCATTTTGAGCAGACTAATCCTAGTACAGTATATAATAACTACTTAAATCTAGACAAGAGTGGTTAACTTGTAGTAAAATCTTTATTTAATCTTAATTAATAATAGTGCGAGGTAGTCAAGGTGGAGGTTTATAAGAATAATAATCTTTAAGTTGCACATAATAAAAACAATATTACAAATAATGGTTCAAACAGTAATATTTTATGGATTGGCAGATGTTTAACAGACTTGAGGTCATATAATATATTTGGGAGAATTGCTTCAAAATGATTAGAGGTTTTTTGGTTGGTTCGGTTAGTACTGCGAGATGAGATGATTTTTAAGCAACCTAACCTAAAGCCTTTCTTCGTAGAAAAGGTTTTCTGATACATGGGATCAACATTATCATCCTTCTCGGTATATTTTTCAGTGGATTAATGGCCGTTATTTATTATCTTAATCCTATATGAAGACCAGAACCGAGAAGCGTAATCTAAATGAGGCATTAACAAAGAAATAAAAAGATGAAGTATAACCTTAGAATGCCTATTATGACCTATAATCCTATCTTTTAACATTAGAGTACTGCTCACAGGATGAGCTGAGGGTTACCTGAAGTTTACCTGTTTGTTAATACTGTATATTTCTAGTGGACTGTAAAATTGAGGACATGTTAGGAGACATGCTGATATTGGCTATTTCTATAAATGTAATGATATTGAACGTTTTTTAATTTTTACTGACTCATCCTTCATTAAATACTATATAAAGTACCAGTACTATACAAAATTATTGCAAAACTTAAACTTTTGTTTGAAACAAATAAAAATTTTGGTTATCACCATGACACATCACTTTTTCACATCTAGTTTAATTATATACAAGTTATAAGGAGAACGGAGAATGAATTTAAAATCCTTTTGAAGAATTGTAGGATAACCTAGGTTAAGTCATCATAAAATGCCACATTTGTATATCCATATTTTAACATCCAGCTAAAGCAGAATGGAAGTCAGGCCTTGTAAAATGACTGGCAGAATAAAATACATTAAATTATTTTGGAGAATATAAAATTCTTCTTCAATTAAAGTTCGAAACAAGTCACTGACTTTTTCGAGGGGTTATCCTAGGTAATTTACACAAACGTTACTATGCAAGACAATTGTAATCACCCAAAACTTGTGTAATTGTACCTTAATAAACCCACTGTTCTATGACTACATCAAGAAATTGACGAATGACAAATCACAATTTCATAATCTATTAAATATATGTTACAATACTGATAATTAAAATAAAATAATAATTTCTACATAATATATATATATATATATATATATATATATATTACATATATATATATATAAATATATATATATATATATATAATATAATATATATATATAATATATATATATATATATATATATATAATATATATATATATATATATATATATATATATATATATATAGATGACAATAGTGCACATATTAAGTCCCGGGTTATACAGGGACTGGTTGGATCCAAGGTGAAGGTAGCAGCATCAATTCCTTGGATTAAGAACCCTTGACTACCACAGTCACTATTCTTAACGGGATTAATTAAACCTGCCGTTTATATAACCTGCCCTAGGACATGCCTACCCACCCCCTGCCTCTATTACTTCCTTTAAATCAACTACAAAACTCACATTATTATTAAAACTACTTCCCAAAATACCAAGACGTCTTACCATCTAAATTACACATACATGGGCTAGCAACACTCCCTCAAACTTACATTTTGGGCTAATTTTCTGAGGAGAGCAGCCATGATGATAGTGCCGAGGTGAAGGCAGGTGTTACTGAGGTTGTTGGCTGCCCTCCCGGCAGCCCACCCAGCAGCCCTCCCGGCAGCCCTCCCGGCAGCCCACCCAGCAGCCCTCCCGGCAGCCCTCCCGGCAGCCCACCCAGCAGCCCTCCCGGCAGCCCTCCCGGCAGCCCTCCCAGCAGCCCTCCCGGCAGCCCACCCAGCAGCCCTCCCAGCAGCCCTCCCAGCAGCCCTCCCGGCAGCCCTCCCGGCAGCCCACCCAGCAGCCCTCCCAGCAGCCCTCCCGGCAGCCCTCCCGGGCGCCCCCCAGCGCCCTCCCGGCACCCCTCGGGCCCACCCAGCACCCCCCCGGGCAGCCCACCCCACCCCCCCGGGCAGCCCTCCCGGCAGCCCCCCCGGCAGCCCCCCCGGCAGCCCTCCCGCAGCCCCCCCCAGCGCCCCCCCGGAGCCCTCACCAAACAAAAAAATTCAAATTTTTATTTCTTTGAAAGGGGTTAAAACAATGGGATTTATTTTTTTTAAAAAAAGTTAAGACAAAAAAAGCCACTAACTGCCTGGGTTTCGGGCACCCGAGCCCCCAACAAAACCCCAAAAACAAATTTTTAATTTGACTCAAGAAACGAATGAAAACGTTTGCAAATAAACCATACCCCAAAATTTGGGCAGAGATTAGGATTCAGCTAACAAAATTGGGGCGGCATTATAACCACTTGAATTTTGGTTGGATATGGGTGACGACGACGGGGTCAAAATAAAGGTTACAATATAAAAACGTTTAGTAGGAACAAAAGGGTGGTGGGAAAGTGCCTACTTTAGAAATGACTTATTTTAAAAAACCCAAGCCGTTTTAAAAATAAAAATAAACTGGAATTCATGGTTGAAGTGCGCTTCCCCAGACCCCAAACCCACTTAGAGGAACTAGTTACCGCCCTCCTCCCCGGACCAGTTCTTAGAAGATTTTTCCCAAGTCTTGCCCGGGAGTTGAAAGCAATGCGAACAATAATACGGGGCGACTTCAATATCTGTTTTCCAACAAAAAAGGGGGCAGAAAAAGAAAGCAAATTTGGGATTAAAATAGCCACCCAACAATTAATAAACCCCCCCGATCACACATTTTTCCACCACCCAAATTTGCCCAACAAACGTTGAACCCGCCGAAAATAGTCAGTCGGCGTCATTCCCACGGTCTTAGTGATCTTTTTCATCTTTATGCACCGGAAAATCACTGGGGATAGGATAGGCCTACACAGGAAATAAAAATGAGGTCAACTAAAAAACACAGTAAAGAAACACGGGTAAATACTAACAATTGTACTGGACAAGATAAAAAAGTTCCCGGGACGAAAACGATGCCGGGGAAAAAAATTCAAAACAATTTCCTACCATTCTTAATAATATTGCACCAGTTAAAGAGGTTAGGATTAAACGAAGAACAAACCCTGGATGACTCTGAGATATTGATAATATGAAATTCAGAGCCCAGCTGCAAAAAAGTTTTAAAGCAAAAAACGGATATGCAGCACTAAAGAATCCAAAAAGGGTGAGGAACAGGCAGGGCTTAAAAAGGAGCAAAGGCAAAGCACTTTGCTCAAAAATTAAAGAATAAAACATAACCCCAAAAGCTCTGGCAACAACAAAAACTTTTTGGGGTATACCATAACCAGTAATGGGTCTACAAAGTCTAAATATCGAAATGAGTATCCCACGAAACATCTAAGGTGGCAAATTGTTTTTTTAATTCCTACTACCCTCTGTTTTTATCAACACTGTAAGTAAAATACCACTGCATCAAATACCTTTAACCCAAAAACCGATAAGTTTCAAACATACTATCCAATAAGGGGTAACCCCCAAACAGTTGTCAATAGAGTGTATCCATGACTTCATTCAAAAAAAACTAACAGGTTTAAACCCCCTAAGGCCCGGCCTGATAACATCCCTCTAATTCCCAAAAGATGTCTTTTGAACTGTCAATCCCTATTTTACATAATAAATCCAATCACCCCTAATACCGACCGGAAGGGGGGTTCAAGGAGGCCGAGTTTCCTATCTTCAAAAAATAAAGGTCTGATGTAAGCAACTATAGACCCGTTTTGATACTAGTAAATATCTAAAATTTTTGGAGAGGGGGGTGTATTCTCAATAGTTTAATACCTTAAAAGACAAACATTTCCCAACATCAATCGGGCTTTAGAGACCTACCCCCCGATACCTCCCCTTTTTATCTGATGGATTAACCCGGAAACTGAAAGTCAAAAGGGAACCTCGAGGATGGTAAACCTTAGACCTGCAAAAGGCCTTTTTGATTCTGTCAACCACAATTATTATTAAAAAACTTCAACTATAGGTATAGTTCGTAGACGGGTTTAATCCTACCTTTGCAACGGAAAAATAGTCAAAATCAACAAAACGGAATCAGAACCCCTGCCCATAACATGTGGAGTTCCCCAAGGATAAGGGGCCCTTTCTATTTTTTTTATGTAATGTATGCCTATCATTCAAGTGCAAAACCCCACGTATGCAGATGACAGTGTCTGTTAGTGACAGGTAAAGACCCAAAGATATTGTAATTTTTAACACTGGGGAAATGGGCCCGCACAAATGGTTTGAACAACAAACTAATTTCACCTAGGGAAAACTAAACCCTTTTTTTGGAACGAAACAAAACTGAGAAGGGGAAATAATTTAATGTTCAGGGAATGGGGGTCCATCACTTTGGGTTTTACCCGTTAAATATTTGGGAAACCCCCCTTTTACCCCTGCATGTCAGGGAATTTCTAGGGGAAAATGTAGTAAAAACGAAGCCAGGGGTGAAGTTCCTGATAGACAAACACAGTGTCTACCTACTGAGGGTCGCAGGACCCCATGTTAGCCCCTTTTACAATGCATATGGATTACGCTTGCCTTCTTGGTACCTTTTCCCTTGACAAAAAAACTGAAAGATGCTGCAAATCCCCAGAACAAAATGTAATTTTTCCTGGGCTGGGGGCCAAAAGAACATTAGGCCAGGATGAATTACAGCATTGGGTATTGAATTTTAAGACAAGTAAAAACAACTGAAGCTAAATCATGTTTTAAAATTGCTCACAACAGTGTCCAGAATATTTGCTGTCAATTGTCAAGGGTTGGGAACCAAAGCAATCAAGTACTAGGGGGAGAGAGCACAACTTTGTGTTTCCCACAGTCTGGCCAGGCTTCAAACACCTTTTTTTGTACAGCAATAAAAAATGAACAGACAAAACCCCCAAATGTCAAGGCCGCTAGCTTAACCATTTTAAAAAGGGCGCCAAAAAGTGTTGATGAAAGAAGCAACAGAAAGGGAGGGAATGATTTTCTATTTTTTAGCTAAAAAACGTGTAAATTTTACCTTAATAGTAAGACCCTCTATTGTAGATGTCGTAATGACCCTCGGGTATGATAGTTTAATGACCCTCGTATTGTAGATAGTCTTAATGCCCTCGTGTAGAGTAGTTTTTTTGTATGATAATAAAAGTTTATTCTTTATTTAGAATAATAGAAAAAAAATTTTTAACCTTTATATTATAAATAAGGGAAAAGGGCCCCAATGGGAAAAGTCAATCTGTCTGACTTTTTTGGGTTTTTCCAGGTTTTTACACTATGCTGCATGTAAAATAATTCTATGTAACGTATTGTGTATACCTGAAAAAAAATTTACTTACTACTTTTTACTTACTTCCCCGCCGGGATTGAACCCGCGTCATGAGTCTAAAACTCCAGCCCGTCCTTTGCTAACGCGGGGGGCTGGGTTTTTGGACTCTATACCGGGGGTTAAACCCCGGGGCCGGGGGGTAGGGTTTTTTTATTTTTTTTATTTTTTTCCAATTTTGTGCACACATACAAGGTACAAAAAAAAATACAGATAAGAGCAGTATGCCAAAGCCACTTATACATGCATAGCATTAGGGGCTGGCTTAAAATTAACTTAAGTTAACTAAGAAATGATTATTTTTTTTATTAAAATAAAAAAGAACGCTAACCACAAGGACTATAAGCGCGCACTAAGCAATGATAAAATCATGATAAAACTTTAAATGTAAACAAAACTATAAAACAATGATATTAAAAAGACAGGTCATAGGTTGCATTCATTAGAGTGATTCTTTTGGGATGTATTAAAAAAAATAATAAATTTAAATTTGGGGTTTTGGGTTTAAAACTTTTATGTGATATAATTGTGAAAACATTAAAATATACAATTTAAAATTTTTTCAGTTATTCATATTTTTTTGGTTTTGGGTGATAAGAATCTTTGAAAAGAACGAATTTATAAACGTTGTGTTTCTTTTATATTACAGGTAAGAATTCCCCGATTTTTGGGCTTTTATGTGCATTGAGTTTTTGCATAGTGGAGATGGACACGAGGAAAATCAAAAAGGGGATCTGTGCCTTGTTTTTTGGTCATTTTTCTGTTTAGGGTTGGGAAGAATTTTGAGGGAGGGGAATACAGAGTTAAATGTCTATGTATGAAAGGTGCGTAATAAGTTGGGTTTTTGTATGGTGAGTAAGGTTTTTTGTATTGAATATTGGTGGAGTGTCGCCTGTAGTGAGAATTTGTTTCATTCTAACTGCAGCCTTTTTTTGGTAATTAGTGGTCTGAGATGGTTTAAATTTTTTTTGAGCCCCTGCACAAATTCCATAGGGAGAAGGGGAAAAAAGAGAGTGAATAGGGGCCCGAGGGTCGGCTGCCCTATCTTTGATGTAGCCCACAGTCTTGGAAATTTTTTTTAAAATTTGAGTATATTTGATGAAATTTTAGTCATTTCAAGGTGGATTCCTAAGAATTTTCCCTCTGTTATTTTGTGATAGGGGTCCATTTATCATTATGTTAAGAGGGGCTCTGTAGCTCGTTACAAACTGAATGAAGTAGGTTTGTCAATGTTAGTGAAGTTTTTTAACCTCATCCAGGGAAATTTTCTGTAATTCGGGATTTACATAGGCTACGTGACTGGGTCGGGGGAGAAAACGTATTATGTCAACTGCAAATGTTGGGGTTTTTGTAATTGCAAAGGCTTTTGGGAATCTTTTATGTATAGAGAAAGAGAAGAGGCCAAAAGAAAGCCACACATGCAGCGCATTTCAACAACCAAAATCAATGGGGAAAAAGCTTTTAGAACATAAGCGCTTTTTCCACATTTTGTCAGTATCCCCAAAACCATTTATTTATTTTTTTTATTTATTTTTAATTGGACAAGATCACAGATGTACAATCCAATATATAGTAATTTATACATGTAATAATTGTATTTAAAATGGCGGCCTTAATAAAATTCAGCAATTGCTTCGTAAATTTATTTTTGGGCCCCGCTTACAAAACAATTTTCAATGTAAAATTAAGGCCTGGGGGCTAAACTCCGCTGTCCACGTGACTCCGAATCGATTCCCCAGCGAGGGTAAAATATTTGGGGGTGTTTTTTTTACACAGGTTTCTATGTTCACCCATCGAAAATAGGAAGGGGGGTTTGTTAATCGAGGGTGTGGGTCGCATCCGGGGACATAACTGACCAAATTTTTGCCCGAATGTTTGTTTAAACGGCTTTTTTTTTTTTTTTCTATATAGTATGTCGTTGATGTCACTGGGAAATGTGTATCTTGAAAAATGAAGATAAAAATAAAGAAAATTATTTTTTTTTTTATTTGTGAAAAAAACGCGCTAAATTTTTTTTTCAAACCCTCGCGGGAATCAAACCCCCGGATTCTCGCAGTGTAAAGGGAAAAAAAAGGGAGCGCTTGTTAAAATTTAAATTTTTTTAAAGCCCCTAATATAACCTTTCTTATAATGAAATTTCGCCCTAAATAATGTCCCCATCCCATTCCATCCATCCATCTCCCCTTTTTCCATTCATCTGTACGCCCCTTTGGGAAATCATATTATCAACAAACAGTGGGGGGTTTAAAGGCTTTCGGGTAATATTTTCCTCAAAAAAAACAGCCCAAAGTTCGTATTTCCTATCCAATTTCTACCAATTTTTTTAGAAAGTACAACCGGGGCTGAAGAAGTGGCTTTTTAATATTTGTATTTTTCAATCAGAAACAATAATAAAGGGGTTTCTTAAACTCTAGATTTCCCTTTAAACTCAGCAAAAATAAAATTCAAATCAATTTTTATTCTCTATAAGGATTACAATCCCGAGTTTCCCAAAAAAAATTTTTGGATATTTTTGTGGTTTCCATGTTTTAAAAAATACAAATTTACAGAGGGGGCCACAAAACACCTAGCATGGCTAGGCATTTCGGGCAGACTTAGATTAATTCTTAACTTTAAAATATTACAAATTATGAGGTAAGTTGGTACTGTATTATGGCTAAGTGACTAAATACTAGTTTGTGAGTTTAGCAATGTGAATGCTTTTGTTTTCGCACAATACATAGTTTCAGTATTGGAGTATCACAGGCCAACTTATGAAAGATATTCGATTGAACTGAGCAACAATCAAGGGTTCTTCAACATAAAGAATAAAAAGGCACAATACCGTGACTGGAAAAATACACAAATAACCCGCCCATTGGTGAATAAAACTTATGAAGTTATGACGACGTTACAGTCCAACTTAAGATAAGATCTTGTTCGGATTTTTAACTCCAGAGGGTTTGTCACCCAGGATAACCAAAGAAAGGCAGTGCGTCATCGAGGAACTGTCTGAGAGTGGCCCTTACAAACCCAAGAACAGCAACTAGTACAGTCATCAGAACTTTAATGGTTTAGTGGGAAGCCGGTTAGTAAACTTAGGTGAGGGTGTTGGCGTCCAGCTCTGCTGGGGCTTGACAGTGATGTCCACCTGATCTGACTGGGAACTTCTTTTTTTCTGTTTACAAAGGAACTAAAGTTCCTTTTCTTTCATTGCCCAACTCTGAGCAATATATCTTTCCTGTGCACGGGAAAACCGGGTTGGATACTGTGTAAGCTGTCAGTGGCCTCTTAAACCCAACAACAAGAGGAAGCTAGTCATCAAAAGAAACTTTTAAGTAAACTACATATTTCCTGAAGAGGAGGAAAAAATAAGCAATATAAGGTTTTGATTATCTGTAAAATCAAGCTTTTTTCAGTTTTGTTCGCATATAAAACTATAATCACTCTCTTATTTACCCCTATCTCACCTATGGAATTTGTGCATGGGGCTCAACAACAATTAACCATCTCAGACCACTAATTACCCAACAAAAGGCTGCAGTTAGAATGATAACAAATTCTCACTACAGGCAGCACACTCCACCAATATTCAATACACTAAACCTACTCACCATACAAAACATCCATACTTATTACTGCACCTATTACATACATAGAACACTTAACTCTGATATTAACCCTCCCCTCAAACATCTCCTTGCCAACCTCAACAGAACACATGACCATAACACAAGGCACAGATCACTCTTTGATGTTCCTCGTGTCCATCTACACTATGCAAAAATCAATGCACATAAAAGGCCCTAAAATCTGGAATCATTACCTGTAAATATAAAAAAAACACAACCAGTTTATAAATTCAAGTCTCTTCTCAAAGATTACTTACTCACCCAAAAAAAAATACTGAAAAACTGAACATTATAAATTGTATTTTAAAATTCAAAATTTAAATATACATAAATGTTAAACCTAAGACCAATCTAACTTTATTATTTTTTAAATACACTACCTAACAGAATCACTACCTAACTGAATGAAACCATATGACCTGTCTTTGGGTAATACTCACTTGTGCTTTTAGTTATCTGTTTACATTAATGTTTTATCACTGATTTCATCATTGCTTAGTAGCAGCGCTGTATAGTCCTTGTGGCTTAGCGCTTCTTTTTGATTATAATAATAATAATAATCGTTGCTTAGTTAATCTTAAGTTAATTTTAAGCCAGCCCGTAATGCTATGCATAGTATAAGTGGCTTTGGCATACTGCTCTTATCTGTATTTTTTTTGTACCTCTGTATGTGTGCACAAATTGGAAATAAATAAATAAATAAATAAATAATAGTTTGTGCTTGGTATAATAGTGTTAAAATAGCTGCTTGATGTTTGCGTGATTTTTTTTTATTTTGATATTACAGTACCTAATATTTGACCCATATTGTCCTTTGCAGGCGGTTCCTTGATGCTAGTGAAGAGCTTTTGATCCAAGGAATTAGAGCTACCCCACTCCTCGGATCAAACCTGATTACTTCCTATTTTCCAGGTGCTGTATGGTCCTTATGTTGTTTGATCCCGTGAATATAATATTAATGGAGTCATTTCACTCAAAAACACAAGAATAAAAGAACCTTGCAGTAGGCCTCCTGACCCATTCTATGCAGGTTCAACTCACACCCACTCATGCATCAATCCTACCTTTATTTAACCACCCAGTTTTTACTTCAGTGATGCTACCATAGAGTTTGTTCTACTTATCTATAACTCTTTTTGCCAAACCAATATTTCTCAATATCCTTTCTAAACCTAAATTTGTTCAACTTGAATCCTTTGCTGCAAGTCCTGTCCTGGTTAGGTACTTTCAGTATGCTATTTATGTCCTTTAATCTATTCCTGTTTTCCATTTGTACACTTATATTATATCTTCCCTAATTGTTCTTTTCATAGAATGAAAATTTAGTTCCTTCAGCCTGTCTTGTTGGGAAACATTTCTGATACATGGAATCAACTTCAGCATCCTTCACTGTATATTTTTGAGTGCATTTAAGTCCAGTCTTTAATATGGGAATCAAAGCTGAACAGTATAATCTAAATGAGATCTCACCAAAGATACTGTATATAAAGTTGAAGTATATATAACATTAGGATTACTATTATTTATACTTCTTGCTCTGAAGCCAAGAATCTTAGCTTTATTGTGAATATTTATGCACTGTTATCTTGGCTTTAAATTTCTGGTGTAAATCTTGGTATTTGATACCGACAAAGTGGTTTAAAAGAATAAATGAGCAAGTATTCACCAGGGTTTCTTAATCAATTCTGCATTTACTTGGGCTAAGATCTACATTATTTAGCTTATAAGTACCATAGTTATTTTCTTTTCCTAGCATTAGATCCTTACTTTTTCTACATTCATCTGCACCTGCTACTTCTCTGATGACCCATTTTAGTGTCATCGGCAAAGTTACTTATGTCTCTATTTATTCTCTCATCTATTTTCTGTACTGTTTATGTATATTGTGAACACCAAGGCAACAAAGATCCCACCACTGACCTCTGTGGCACATCGCCTAAAAGGGGTCCTCATTCAGATTTCTCTCTATTTATGCACACTATTGCTTATTGGTCAGTCATGACTTGACCCAGGAGATAATTTCTCATTCTGTACCATGTGCTGCAATATTCTTCATCCTCTCCTTTGTGGAACTTGGTTTAGGCTTTATGTATTTGGATTATTTTCAGATAATCATCAAGGCCTTCTACACCCTTATAAAACTGGAAATTAATTGCCTAACCTGGAGTTTACCTGGACCATGTCAAGGCCGGTAATAGTATAATCAAATTAAGGATTAAATCTAAGAAGTACCTAGTTAATGAACTTTCAGACAAAAAGGAAAATATTTGGGTAGTAAATTGCTGTGTAGCGAAGTATTATTATTGATTGCATTATTGGATATTACCAGTTATACGTAAATCATAACAGTTTACTGAATCGTGATATTCGAAGTTATCCACCCATTTAATGTATTCCATTGAGCTCGTTCCATCTGTCTGGTTCATCCATCCCATCCCATTCCATCTATTCATCTATTATTTTCCATCCATCCAACCCATTCCATCTATCCAACTCATTCTGTCTATCTAACCCATTCCATCCATTGAACCCATTCCATTCATTAAAACCCATTCCATCCATTTGAACCCATTCTGCCCATCCAATTCCATCCAGCCTTTCATCCATAAATTATCACTTTAAAGGTATTAGAGCCATTTAATCATATACTGCTACTTTTTGGGAATGTTAAGAGCCACTGAGAGCTTTTACCATATTGATCCCTGCTTCCTAATGTATGGGAAGAAGTATTGCCCAAAGCTGGGCAATGAAAGAATAATGGACAGGATTTCCCACTGCCAATAGGAACAGGAGCAAAATGTTCCCAATTAGGTCAGGTGGACCTACCCTTGCCTAAACCCCAGCAGAGAAGGACATTTGCATTCTCACCTGAATCAGTAACTCTTCAGACCCAAACTATAATCCTCCAGAGAGCAGAAAAATGGAACTGATGAATGGTGTCCCTTCTCTAATGTGCCCAGAGAACAGAATAAGATGAGAACATGTGTGCCAGCGAGAATGGGGGAAAATTTGTCACCAATGCTCATGAGAGAGTGATACATCTGCTCATCACCAAGGCTGGAACAAGAGTCAGTTAAATCATATTACCTGGAGTTTACCTGGAGAGAGTTTCGGGGGTCAACGCCCCCGCGGCCCGGTCTGTGACCAGGCCTCCTGGTGGATCAGCGCCTGATCAACCAGGCTGTTGCTGCTGGCTGCACGCAAACCAACGTACGAGCCACAGCCCGGCTGATCAGGAACTGACTTTAGGTGCTTGTCCAGTGCCAGCTTGAAGACTGCCAGGGGTCTGTTGGTAATCCCCCTTATGTGTGCTGGGAGGCAGTTGAACAGTCTCGGGCCCCTGACACTTATTGTATGGTCTCTTAACGTGCTAGTGACACCCCTGCTTTTCATTGGGGGGATGGTGCATCGTCTGCCAAGTCTTTTGCTTTCGTAGTGAGTGATTTTCGTGTGCAAGTTCGGTACTAGTCCCTCTAGGATTTTCCAGGTGTATATAATCATGTATCTCTCCCTCCTGCGTTCCAGGGAATACAGGTTTAGAAACCTCAAGCGCTCCCAGTAATTGAGGTGTTTTATCTCCGTTATGCGCGCCGTGAAAGTTCTCTGTACATTTTCTAGGTCGGCAATTTCACCTGCCTTGAAAGGTGCTGTTAGAGTGCAGCAATATTCCAGCCTAGATAGAACAAGTGACCTGAAGAGTGTCATCATGGGCTTGGCCTCCCTAGTTTTGAAGGTTCTCATTATCCATCCTGTCATTTTTCTAGCAGATGCTATTGATACAATGTTATGGTCCTTGAAGGTGAGATCCTCCGACATAATCACTCCCAGGTCTTTGACGTTGGTGTTTCGCTCTATTTTGTGGCCAGAATTTGTTTTGTACTCTGATGAAGATTTAATTTCCTCATGTTTACCATATCTGAGTAATTGAAATTTCTCATCGTTGAACTTCATATTGTTTTCTGCAGCCACTGAAAGATTTGGTTGATGTCCACCTGGAGCCTTGCAGTGTCTGCAATGGAAGACACTGTCATGCAGATTCGGGTGTCATCTGCAAAGGAAGACACGGTGCTGTGGCTGACATCCTTGTCTATGTCGGATATGAGGATGAGGAACAAGATGGGAGCTAGTACTGTGCCTTGTGGAACAGAGCTTTTCACCGTAGCTGCCTCGGACTTTACTCTGTTGACGACTACTCTCTGTGTTCTGTTAGTGAGGAAATTATAGATCCATCGACCGACTTTTCCTGTTATTCCTTTAGCGCGCATTTTATGCGCTATTACGCCATGGTCACACTTGTCGAAGGCTTTTGCAAAGTCTGTATATATTACATCTGCATTCTTTTTGTCTTCTAGTGCATTTAGGACCTTGTCGTAGTGATCCACTTTATATACTTTATATTAATTTTTAAAACTGTTAGTTTTATGTATTCACATGTCCTTTAAATTAAAACTGTTAATTTCAGCCATTTGTAGATGGTGTCAAGTTTACTGTGGGAGAAATACCATAAATAAAATGTCCTGCATGGAAATGCCCAAGTAAGCACACTATATTATTGTGAATATTCTGAGAGATGCCATCATTATTGTCCTGCATGGTGACATCTTAGTAGGCATACAATATTTCATTGTGATTATTCTAATTTCAGGCACTTACCTAGCTGGAGAAGAATGGCATCACTAGAGAAGTGGGCTTGTGAAGAGCTGGAGAAGTTGGGGATACACGATCCTGGAGATATTGTACGATACCTACAGCCCATAGAAAACCCAGTGGAGGTTGAAGAGTATTTAATATCAATGTTGGATGTGAACAAGTCATCTCATCAGAAATTTATTGAAATATTCTTGAAGAAGCAGGAGGAGGCAAAGTCAAATGTGGACTCCAGGTTTTACCGGAAACCTGATTTGGAAGAAAATATGGGATTCAAAATGAGTGAAAACAAGAAAAAACAAAAAAATTTAAAAGAAAATGGGGTGCCTAATGGTAAAAGTCAAAAAGAATTGCCCTCTGCTGCTGGTTCTAGTATTCCAAGTTTGTCAGGTGTAGGGAAGAAGAAGACAAAGTTTGTTAACCTATACTCAGATGAAGGACAGGATAGAGATGTAGTTCTTTTAAGTGGAAGGCACAAGTGTGATTGTCAAGCAAGTAAACATAAACTTATAAACAACTGCCTTAAGTGTGGTCGAATTGTCTGTGAACAGGAAGGTTCAGGGCCATGTCAGTTTTGTGGAAACCTGGTAACTACAAAAGAAGAAAAAGAAATTCTTAGGCGAGGCTCCCGGAAATCAGAGGTACTTCAAAAACGACTTCTTAGTGAGAAAAATGCTGTTGTCATTGAACCCACAGCTGAAACTGGACAACCATCTGAGACCTTAAAGAAGGCCATTGAGCACAAAAACAAGCTCTTGGAGTATGATCGCACAAGTGAGAAGAGGACCAAAGTTTTTGATGATGAAAATGATTACTTCAATATTAGTTCTCGTTGGCTGAGTCAGGAAGACAAGATGCGACTTCAGAAACGAGAAGAGGAACTTAGAAGCAAAATGTATGATAGGAGCCATCAGAAATTTACTATTGACTTTTTAGGCCGAAAGGTTGTTGCTGATGATAATATAAATGGTATTTATGATCCAGATGATCCTTTGGTTAGAGAGATTCTTGAAGGTAAAACTAATGACATATTTTCAGCCCCAGATAGAGAAGAGTCTAGCCCATTAGTCGAGGTAAGTCGCCCTGAGTATATGGAAACTGATGTTAGACCTGGTAAAGGACAGGGTAGTAAGTTCAGAGGGCTTGATACCAAACTTCGTGTGCAGGACCGTGAACTACAGGAAATGACAGATGAAGGAATGTGTCTGAGCATGCACCAGCCATGGGCATCACTGTTGGTGGCTGGAGTTAAAAGGCATGAAGGAAGAACATGGTACTCTCCTCACCGAGGAAGGCTGTGGATTGCAGCTGCTGCAAAGATGCCGACTCCAGATGAGATTAAACAAATGGAACATGCGTACAGTGTTCTTTTAAAGGATGAGAATCTGCCATTTCCACATCATTATCCCACTGGCTGTCTCTTAGGATGTGTAGATGTAATAGATGTCCTTCCACAGGAAGAGTACCGTAAGGTACACCCTGACGGAGAAAGTGATAGTCCCTATGTCTTTGTCTGTGAAAATCCACAGGAAATGATACTCAAGTTTCCAATTAAAGGGCAGCATAAAATATACAAGTTGGATCCTAAAATCCATCAGGCAGCAAAAAAAGCAGTAAGGGCAAGAGAAGAATAACATATATGGTATAGGTCTTAGATTTTTTTTTTAATGCACCGGCTGTATCCCACCAAGGTAGGTGACCTAAAAAGAAAAACCAGATTTTTTTTTTTAAATTTAGTAATTAATACAGAAAGGATTACTGGCCCCTTGCTCCTGAGATTTTTCTTGCACTAATACTGAAGGATGGGTGGGGGAAATTGATTTGTGTTGTCAGTGCCCTTCTGTAGAGACAGCAAAAATATTAGTGATATTGAATGTGTTGCCTTCTTTGGGTCACCCTACCTCAGTGGGAAAAGGCAAATATGGGAAGACAAAAATTTACTTATTTTGTTAAAAACAGACTTAGTGGACACTATAATTGTATTAGCAGTGTAGTTCTATTATTGTTCGTGCATACAGCACTGATATTTGACAACTATAATTAAACTGAATCAAGTATATGTTGATTTTGATTGTGTTAAATGGTTTATTTTTCATAAATACAAATTATAATTTAGCATACAGTATCTTGTATATTTAATTTAATGCATAAGGATTATGTTCCTCGAATTTTTTGATTAGCTTTATTTTGCACCTCAGTAATCAAAAACTTACTGAGCCGCAAAACTGGTCCAGGAACTGGGCCCACGTTTTGCTGACTAAGCAAGTGAGGTACTTTTATGCAGTATCTGTTGTGTTAATGGTTCTGGGATCATTGCCCATGTGGTCCAGTCTGAGATTACAGTAGTGATGAGGGAGAAAATCAGTGGACAGTCATAATGATAAATTATGAGTGTAGGCATTTTCATATTTCCAATTATTCCAGGCATGGGATTATGAGTTTGTGTTCAGTCTTTGCATAAGAAAAGATGTCAAACATTTCCAGTTGTCCTAGGTTTGAACCTATCTTCTTTAGATGAGTCATGAGCCACCATGAAGTGGGGAAGTATAGTACTAAACCCATAAGGGGTAATCAAGTTTTGCCTGAGGAAGGAAAGAGAAGTGGTAGCTTCTAGGATCAAGATCCTTTCACCAGCATTGAGGTAATCCGTGAAAGGTTGAGCATCTTGTGTTACACCATGACCGAGTCATGACCGAAAACAACTAAAGGTGATGATTATCATTGTATGTTCACAAAAAGTGCTAAACCCAAAGGATAAAGGTACAGAAATTAATTCCTCATAGTATGTCAAGGCATTTTCCTAAATTTAGAAGAACTCTGATAGAGTGTAATATATGTATTCCTGGAAGGTGTTGAAGGATCATTGTTTTTATAGTTTGGTTTTGTGCTGTATTAATATAGTGATGCAGTAGTTGCCAGGACAGGGGGGTGGGGATACTTGTATACAGGAGGGCCCTGCATATACAGCAGGTTAGGTTCTGGACAACTACTGTAAAGCAAAAATCACTGTAAAGTGAAACATTTTTTTGTTTTCACTTTCAAATGCATATAAAAGCTTGATAACATGTTTACACTATCATATATTAAGCAAGCAATAGAGCTAGGCCTAAAAAATGCACGCACATACAGTACACACGATACTTACCTTAATTAAAATATTTTCGTCCTTAGCTTATAGTGAGTGGTGAGTATATTTATTGTAGGAAGTCTGAATAAATGAAGAATGGGTATAATGAAAACCCCTGTATTAGCGAAATGCTCTAAAGCGAAGTGCTGTGAAGTGAGGCCCACCCATATTGAAATAGTTGGATTGACATGTCTAATAGTATGGACCCTTCAGGGGAGGTCCTTGATGCTGGTGAGGGGCTCTTGATCCAAGGAATTAAGATTTGTTTTTTCCCCTTGGATAGAACCTGATTACCTCTTATTCCCCAGGCACAGTATGACCCCTACAGGTTTGGCACCCCTAAATATAATAATAATTAGATGATTTCTTCAAGGGAGGTGCCCTAATACGAGTGAAAGGCTCTTAGGAATAATCATAGATTGTTTTCAAGAACTATTCAGGCTTCATCAGTGGAACCAGCACTATGACCCTTATGGGTTTAGCACTTGGTTATGAGTATAATAATAATAAAAAACTATTATTTTCCTGACGTGCATTAGCAGTTCCAGTCATCATCCAAGAGCCAGATGTTAAAAAAAAAAAAATCCTTTATTAGTACAACATTTGATCAAAATGAGGCATTATCAAGTCCTGTATATACAGTGTCAAAACAAGTGGCATATATATAGTGTTGAGATGCAGTAGATTCAAGAACTATATATACATGTATATTTTTAACAAGTTGGCCATCTCCCACCGAGGCAGGGTGACTCAAAAAGTAAGAAAATCCCCAAAAAGAAAATATTTTCATCATCAAGGCTTTCACCTCACTCATACATAATCAGTGTTTTTGCAGAGGTGCCCAGAACACAACAGTTCAGTAGCATATATGTATGTATAAAGATACAGAACATATCCCTCCAATCTGCCAATATCCCAAACCCCTCCTTTAAAGTGCAGGCATTGTACTTCCCATTTCCAGTACTCCAGTCCGGCTATATAAAAATACAGTGGAACCTCAAAAATCGAACGTATCACATATCGAACGTTTCAAAAATAGGACCATTTTTTCGGACAAACTGTGTCCCTATAATCGAACGCGCCCCTATTTTCGGACCGCCAGGTACGGGACCTGTCTGCCGGCCCGCTCTGTCCGCGTCCCCGTGCAGGCGCTGTGAGCAGTCTAGCTTTGTTTATGCTTGAGTGAACACTAACCTGCGCTCTCATTGACGCATTTTACAATTATTTCGTTGTGTTTAGTGCTTGTGGGACTGTGAAATAAGCTGCCATGGGCCCAAAGAAACTTGCTAATGGTACCCCTGTGGTAAAGAAAGTGAGAAACACCATAGATGTGAAGAAGGAAATAATACAGAAGTATGAGAGTGGTGTGAGACTTGTTGAGCTTGCCAGGATGTATGGGAAAAACAAGTCGACCATCGGTTCTATCCTGTCAAAGAAAGAACAAATCAAGGAAGCTGATGTTGCAAAAGGTGTTAATATAGGGAGTGGATGAGGTGCCTTCTTCAAAGATTAAGGAGATTTGTGCCAAGTGGAATGATGTCCAAATGTTTGTGCAGAAGTACCACCCTGAGCAAGCTAAAACAAGCCATCTTTGCAACAAGTTCAGTGACAGAACCATGTCCCATTTTAGGGAAATGTTAAAGAGGCGCCAGAAACAGAGGACTGTGGACAGTTATTTTGTGAGACAGGGGTCCAGTGACTCTCAATTTGGCCCTAGTGGCATTAAAAGACAGAGAAGGGAAGTAACCCCAGAGAGGGCTTTACCTGAAGTCCTCATGGAGGGGGATTCTCCTTCCAAACACTAACCTCAACTCCCTCTCTCCTCCTCCCTATCTTCCAGATGCCATCACCAATCTTCAATAAAGGTAAGTAAAAATTTTATTTTATATGTATTACTATACATAATTAAAAACTATAGTATGTATTTGTTGTATGTAAAACTGTAATTAATCTCTATAAAATGCATTTTTTTGTGTGAATATTTTAGGGTTTCTGGAACAGATTAATTGTATTTCCATTATTTCTTATGGGAAATATTGCTTCAAATTTCAGACTTTTCGAATTTACAACTAGCTCCTGGAACGGATTAAGTTCGATTTTTGAGGTTCCACTGTAACCGGTTTCCCTGAATCCCTTCACTAAATATTACCCTCCTCACACTCCAACAGCTCGTCAGGTCCCAAATACCATTCATCTTCATTCACTCCTAACACGCTCACGTATGCTTGCTGGAAGTCCAAACCCGTCACCCACAAAACCTCCTTTATCCCCTCCCTCCAACCTTTTCGAGGATGACCCCTACCCTGCCTTCCTTCCCCTACAGATTTATATGCTGCCCATGTCATTCTACTTTGATCCATTCTCTCTAAATGACCAAACCGAGACAAGCCACGGGGGGGGGGGGGAAATCTTTAGCTCAAGTACTTTCACACTTCTCGGTGCATCATCAGGAGCTATGCAATGTTGCAAGGTAGCAACATTGCATAGCTCCTGATGATGCACTGAGAATTTTGAAATTACTTGGGCTGAAGATTCCCCCCCCCCCCCGTGGCTTGTCTTGCATGGTTAAGATTGCCTGTCTGCGATTGTTTGCATATAATATAAAATATATATATATATATATATATAATATATATAATATATATATATATATATATATATATATATATATATATATATATATATATATATAAGGGTTGGAGGGAGGGGATAAAGGAGGTTTTGTGGGCGAGGGGCTTGGACTTCCAGCAGGCTTCCTTGAGCGTGTTCGATAGGAGTGAATGGAGATGAATGGTATTTGGGACCTGACGAGCTGTTGGAGTGTGAGCAGGGTAATATTTAGTGAAAGGATTCAGGGAAACCGGTTATTTTTTATACTGCTGGACTTGAGTCCTGAAAATGGGAAGTACATGCCTGCACTTTAAAGGAGGGGCTCGGGATATTGGCAGTTTGGAGGGATATGTTGTGTATGTTCATACGTATATGCTTCTAAACTGTTGTATTCTGGGCACCTCTGCAAAAACAGTTTACCTGGAGAGAGTTCCGGGGGTCAACGCCCCCGTGGCTCGGTCTGTGACCAGGCCTCCTGGTGGATCAGAGCTTGATCAACCAGGCTGTTACTGCTGGCTGCACGCAAACCAACGTACGAGCCACAGCCGGCTGGTCAGGTACCGACTTGAGGTGCTTGTCCAGTGCCAGCTTGAAGACTGCCAGGGGTCTATTGGTAATCCCCCTTATGTATGGTCTCTTAACGTGCTAGTGACACCCCTGCTTTTCATTGGGGGGATGTTGCATCGTCTGCCAAGTCTTTTGCTTTCGTAGTGAGTGATTTTCGTGTGCAAGTTCGGTACTAGTCCCTCTAGGATTTTCCAGGTGTATATAATCATGTATCTCTCCCTGCATTCCAGGGAATACAGGTTCAGGAACCTCAAGCGCTCCCAGTAATTGAGGTGTTTTATCTCCGTTATGCGTGCTGTGAAGGTTCTCTGTACATTTTCTAGGTCAGCAATTTCACCTGCCTTGAAAGGTGCTGTTAGTGTGCAGCAATATTCCAGCCTAGATAGAACAAGTGACCTGAAGAGAGTCATCATGGGCTTGGCATCCCTAGTTTTGAAGGCTCTCATTATCCATCCTGTCATTTTTCTAGCCGCTGCGATTGATACAATGTTATGGTCCTTGAAGGTGAGATCCTCCGACATGATCACTCCCAGGTCTTTGACGTTGGTGTTTCGCTCTATTTTGTGGACAGAATTTGTTTTGTACTCTGATGAAGATTTAATTTCCTCGTGTTTACCATATCTGAGTAATTTAAATTTCTCATCGTTGAACTTCATATTGTTTTCTGCAGCCCACTGAAAGATTTGGTTGATGTCCGCCTGGAGCTTTGCAGTGTCTGCAATGGAAGACACTGTCATGCAGATTCGGGTGTCATC